ACAAACATAAATAGGCATAAAGACTTTATGCTGGCACCAATATAGTCTGAATCTTAATCTTGCGATTTAATAAAAAATAGTATTATTTTTGACGCTTTGACTAATGTGTGTCTTTGACACGCATTAATATGTGTACATTATTCAGAAATGTGTTTATTCTTGGACATCCACATATCGTTAATTGACAAACAATGTGCACTCAAAAGTTGTCAAAACAGCCCGAAATGCAGAGTGTCATTGTATGTGGTCCTGCCTTAGTTGCCTTCAAAAGTAATCTGACAGCTTGGGTCATTTTACTGCTCTGATCTTGTAATTTTATACAGATAGAGCTACCTTTTATCTGGTCAGTGGCACAGAATGTAATATTCATGGTATTTTCTCTTACTTCTGGTCTTCCTTTTGTAAATGTGGAAAATCAAAGCTTATCACAAGTGGACATGGACACAAGTAAATAGATCAGCTGCTCATGGCGGAAGTAGAGTCTTGGGGAACTACAACCTTCACACATTAAAGGTTTTAATAACTCTTAGACATTTGAAACACTTGATTCTTAGATGTTCAGAGTTAATATTGTGATGCCGACTGGGCTCACGTACACATGGGTGGTACTGGCTGCACCCAGGTTTAGTAAGTTAATTACGTAATATAGTTGCAACTACAATTTGTGTTGTACGCAATGTTTTTATTTCACAAAGAAAACAATATATTCGTTCTTCAGACCCACTGGTTTGATTAATGATGCCCCTAAATCATGTGTGCCTTGCTAGGAGAACAAGAAAACATGAAAAGAAATATCTGGATTGTATATAGTTAGTTGTATATAGTTACCATATCAATGTGTAAACACTTACAGTACAGCTCTTCTAACTTCACAAATAAAACTGGGTTTTGTATGTATATGTAACTGGACATTATTTCCTTTTGCATGTGTTTTTGAATTTTCAAATTTTTGTATTTTGTAGGTTTCTGCAGTAGGAGTATATGGTGTCAAGTAGGTTCTTAAATATTGATTATTTCTTTGAATTTCCTTTTAAAGTGAAAACCTCAACCAAGCCTTCAGATCGGTTTCCATCATGGCCTGGATATTTAAGTTGCCTTACTCTTGTGTTTTCAATTATCATCCTGCCTGCAGTTCAATACCTTTTGTGATGGTGAAGCAGTTTTCGATTTTTAGCAGTAGCAACCCATGAATGCCCTACCTTCCTACAGTATATCTCTCCCAGTTTCTCGAGTTTGGCTGCCGAAGCCGAATTTCCTCTTGCCACCAGTACACACCGCCTTACTTCCCAGTCCATCGTCCATCCATAGCCACTGGCCACACTGTCTCCAGGCACGCTTGGATCTTTCCTTTTGTAAAACGTAGTACTGTACCAATGACTAGAAAAGTAACTACTGAAAAGCAGGGTGATTAATAATAGTGTTATTTCACAAAATCTAAAAGTGGAGCCAAGTCCATTTATACAGATTCTTGTAAAAAGTAATAAGCTCTAATATATTGTCAGTTTTGCCAATATCAATTTCCATTAACTTTGTGTTTGTCTTCCACAAGAGTCAGCAGTTTGTAAAACCTGATATGAATTAAACTCGCTGTGTGCTCTGAAGTTAGTGTTAGATAGTGTTACCATTGTCAAGGTTTTTCCTTGGGCTTAAGCATGACACACCAAGTGCATTCAAATTCTTCATCTTATTTCATCCACTTTTTCTTGAGATTTTCATTGTTCTGCTGTGCACATCCTGCATGTCTTTAGAAAGTATTCTGCAGTTTTGTTGCAGCCGCTTGTTATGAGTTTCAGATGTCTTTTCTCAGTGGCGGTGTGAATCAGGGAATGGTTAAAGAAGGACTAGAACAAGTAGGTGAGAAACACCTGACTTGACTTGTTCTTTTCCACCTCCCAGAGTTCGGAGGGGATGTTCCATGCTGAATGTTTGGCAAGAGCTGAGAAAAACTGACACGCCTAGCTCCTGTCTGGACTTGACAGAGCTCCCTCTACAATCAAATCACAGCTTCCCACAATCCTTTTCCCATAGTCCTCCACCCTGCACTGTGGGAGAAGGGTGCAAAGGAAACTAACAGCACCAGTTGCTATATGTCAGGTTCTTGCTTGCACAGCAAAGAAGAGTTGAAAAACCAGTTCCTTTGACTGTAGATGCATATCTTTGTTAACGAACTAGGGAACTCATTACTTGTCCTGGTAAGGCACCTCTTTTAGTTTTCTCATGTTGTAGTACTGTAAACTGGCAAAAGAAAAAAAATGTACTAATCAAATCACGAAAAAGCAAATGGTGTGAATGAGTGTATTACAAGTTCTGGGATATTGCTTTTCAAGCTTCATAGTACAGGTAATGGCAAAAAGTACACTGTGGATAATGTAGTGTGCTCTTTTTTGGATTGTATTATTCTTTGTTTTTTTATTTTCTATTGACTTGGGTTTATCCCTTGTCTTTAATCTTGGAGAGGATGAGGCTTTTGCTGTGATTGAGATAAAGTCGGACAGCTTCACATCTTGCTCTGCATGTGTCAGTGGAAGCTTGTTGTTTATAAGCCTTTTTAAAAAAAGCAGGGACTTATCTGGTTTTCCAAACAATTAGATTTGCAAATCCAATATGGCTATCTATTACTGCAGAAAACAGAAAACTAGTCTGTTCACATAGATACTGAACCTGCATGCCTGCTTTTGTGACATAATTCATTTCTCGAAAACATTTCTCATGGCTGTGCCAATTGTGGACAAGTGTATCAGTGTCACACACATGAATCTGGTGGTTTTGCTCTCTACAGGTCCCAATCTCCCTCCTCCCTAGTCTGCGAAGTAGACTGTCTATCAGACTAAGAGCAGTTAGATTAATTTGGACTGCAGTGAAGTAGCTCCTGAATTATAGTTTAATTAGATCATTTAGACACTTTTTGAGCATGTGTTTGAAAGAGCAAAGAAAATCTTATGTCCAGTACATGCCACTAAAGAAACTGATTAATGTAGGCTTCTAGTTCATATGGGGAACTTAAATACAGTCCTAGAAAACTGTGCCACTTTTACATATGTACCCAATAACAAGACAAGATCTTATTTTAAAACTCCTTTGTGAGAAAACCTGCCATTTGGGGTCACAGCATATCTAAAGGTCCCTGAACAATTTGGATACCAAGTGGATAAAGTGTTTATAACTTTATTTATATTTTTTATAAAAGAATAAAAAATGTAATATACAGTATGACTGAAATTTATGTAGAACTATGTATACAGAACTTTAGTCAAGACTGAATAGATTGATGAACTTACAAGTCATATGCATGCAAAAACTTTCTGTGTATAAATGATAGAGCCAAAAAGTCTTGTTCTAAATTTTCTCTCATTTGTAACTTAACATACTGTGCAATGCTACAACAATTACCAAATCATTCCTTGATTGTTGGATTGTATTGAGGATTATATAATTATTAAATAATAAATGCAATACATTATTTATATTATATTGCAATACATTATTAATTTTGCTTTATTCTATCATTTATTGTTCAATTAATAGTAATGTCTCTCATTATGGCACATTACCTCGTATTACCTTGTCTCTCTGTTAAAACTGAAATGAGTCATATCCGTTTCCATTTAGCATAATAAATATCAGAAATATGTTCCATCATTCCACATGATGGCATGAAACGGACAGAAACAACTTAATAGCTGAGCAGTGGATTCGATTCAGTTTTGCACTTTCTTGTCCCAGAACAAAACTGTCAAAGAGCACATTGTGATTGCACACATCTGCAGGAGTATGTTAGTTAAGGCTAGACTTGTTACAGTAAATAACCATAACTTGTTACATACCCATTCAGTCTTATTGCAGCTGTTATTGTTGCTAGTATTGTAAGTTTGCTGAATATATCATCTAAACAGAAAGACTGTCTAATGACAGGAAATGTCGTAAGAAATAAGAAATAAGAGAAATAAGATGTAAAAAAACTGCAAGTAGGTACAAGTAACATGCAAAACGTTTCACAAACAAAACAGTTCCACCTGACCAGGTGTTCCTTTCAGAGTGCAGACAGAGTGTTATAAATATAGTGCTATATATGCAGCAAGCTAGAATAAGGAGTTTGTCTTCAGCTGACTGTGACTGGAATTTCTCAGGTGGAAACACACAACCAGGGGTGCAGGGGGTCAGATTAGACAAAGTAACCTCAGCAAGCTCTGACAGTTGACCGGGACCTGTGGGCATACAGTATTGTTATGCCTCCAGTAAATGCCAGCTCTGCTTTGTTCAGTTCAGTTCAATTTATTTTTCTTCAACTTTACTCACTTAATCAGCAGAGCTGCCTAAATGAGAAGAACAAAACGCTTTGTGTCAAGTGCATTATATACTCAAAATGAAGAATTTAGCCAGCAGCTAATTCAAATCAAATCGGTTCATTGAGAAGTTGAAAATAGAATCCTTGTGTCTGAGTGAGCCTGGCACCCCAGTCCTGTTGTTCAGGTTTTTATCAGAGGGCAACCTTCAAAAACCTGTAAATAATAAAACCCAACTGTGCTACTGTTTGGTTAAAGCCATACGGTGTGGGACGAGGTTTGGTAACAATGTAAAAGGACAATGGCAAGGACATTTGTTAAAATATTGAAACATTTTCAGCGATCATAAGATTTAGAAGACCTTGCAACTTTAGAACCTACTAATTGCAAAACAGCTGAATATTTGGATTCAAGTATTACTATGAACTGTTCATTCTTTCTTGTTGTAAAACAAAACAGTGGGTGGAAAGTTAACACATTTGAGGATGTGAGTCACTTTCTTGCTGTACAGATCTTATCCACTCCTTCAAGCCATCGAAAGCTGTTGGAAGCAAAAAATGATCAAGATAAGCTGAACACAAAGATTGAATTCTCTCATTGTCTACTTTGACAAGATCAGATGTCAGAAGGAGAGCTTTTTCTTTAATTTATCTTTGCCTAAACTATAAATCTCTCTTTCAAAGTGAATCTAATGTACCTTTCTACATTTTTCCCTAGAAAAGAGGAGTCCCCTGAGGGTCAGAAGGCAAGCCCAGGAGAAAGGATGTGCTGAGAATCCTGCCTTCATCTGTGAAAGTGGACCTATCCAGTGCCCAGTTCACAGTGCCACCTGGGTTTCCATGGCACTGCAGTGCAAAGCGACTAATAAAGCTGAAATTTTGGGTCTAATCTGACCCTCTTCTTCACAGCTCATTTCCCCTTCAGCTCAGGGATGTCATCTGGGACGTCCTTTAAGCTCTGAGTGGGTTGGCACAGCCTGCCCCCCTCCTCACCTCTTCCTCTGTATCTAAGGCCTGCCCCCCACCGGCGATGGAGTCAGTGCCCAGCTCTGACAGCCTGCTGGACCTCAGCTACCTCACAGAGGAAGAACAGGCCTCCATCCTCAATGTGTTGCTGCGAGATTCAGAGTTGCATTGCCTGGAAGAGGGACGAATCAGGTGAGGCGGTGGGGGTGAGATTTGGGTTCCTGGGTCAACAATGTCAGTTAGTTTGGTTTGCCATTACCATTCCCTTATAATTTTCAGACCACCTTTTGTTTCTTAACTGAGTGCACTCAGCAGTAAAAGGAAGATCATGAATTATCTGATAATTTTCTTTTTTGGGTTTTTGATGGAATCATTATGATGTAATAAAAAAAAGGTCCAACCTAGTGTGCCACCGTAAACCTTTGGGGCATTGGTTTTATAAATCTGCATCCATGGCAAGAGTGCTGTCTACTAGTCCACCTACACTACTTAAAGCAAAAAAAATGGATTTCATTGGAGGTCTCCCATTTTAGTATCGCCCAGGCCCAGGCTGGCTTACCTTCTGATATCTGACAAGATTAGCCTAGAAAGCAGTAACCCTGCTGTAAGAAAGCTACCATCTATGGTTCTTGATAGTCATAGGCCTATAAAGTTTGTAGGTCTATACTTGAATAATACAGAGGCTAAAGTCTTCAAAGTCGCAGAAATCTTGTAATTAACTGTTTAGCTCAGGGGAGCGGATGTCCCTGTAACAATCCACATCATTGACCACTTCTGCAAATAAAGAAATCATGGGAATGGCACTCTGCATTAAGTATTGGCTGTGATATCTTTTTTTGTGATATCTCCCTATCTTTTCTGTAGCAAGCTGCGACACACGGTGTCCAACCCCAAGGAGCTCAAGTCCCTCACTGGAGAGTGGTTCAGCGAGGCCAGATCCAAACGCCATAGGAATAGGAAGTATGGCTCAGATATCGTTCGTGCATCCATCCGACGAAAAAAGAAGCCTAAAGGTGAGTGTCCCTGAGCTGTTGGGAATGCTTCAGTGATGCAGACAGCTCTGGTACAGTTAAACAGATGCTCTCGTATTGAGTAGTCATCATGGCCATTATTTGACATCAGGACAGAATTATTTTTTCTGTTGAAAGTCATGGAGGACCACAGCAGCATTAACAGGACTGCTTAAGTGTCTGTAACCTGTCTGCCAGTGGCTGATCTACACATTTAACACTTCCCTGTACTCCAAAACTCTATACCAAAGCCCCAGTGTTATGGCAAAAGATGCTGTATTTTAGATGCAAAAGGAGTTTAATTAAAACATTTCTGTGCTGTATAACACCATAATCAAGTAACACACAGTTTTGTTTTGGTTGTTCAGATCTTGATACTAGGTAAGTTTGTGCCTGGTGCAAAGAAGGCATGATCTCAAGGCTGTTATCTGTCAGATGTTGCTTGCTAATGCTTCACATGCCCTGTTTTCAATTTCTTAATTGCAAAATATTGCTCTTTTTGGAAACGGACAAGCCTGTAGTTTGGTTGTCTTTAATACTACAGTATTTGGTAGAACCCTAATTTAGTGTGGTTGTAATTATCAAGATACGTTTTAACTGTGTTTTGAACTGAACAGAATAATTTGCTTGTACTTGGAATTGCTGTTGTACAGTCAGAAAAGTGTGTATTTTCTCTACATTACTAACCAACTCACTTTCCTTTACTGTATCAAACACAGAAACACTGTTTCCAGACAGTGATTTTTAAAGGTTATGGCAATGTAATATAAGAATGTAATCTACATTTCATGTTGATTTTATACCATTACATTTTTGAGAATATTATTTTCTACAATAAATCATATGCAAAATTCTGCTTATTTGAGAGTGGTATCCAAACTTGGGATTCATATGTTTAGCATAATATGCAAAATCAGTCATCAACATCACTCTCAACTATAGCAAAACAATAGCAAAAATCTTATTACTGTTCATGAGAACTGGGTCCAAATTTAATCTAATGAAATGTAAAAAAATCTTAATAAAGTGCTAAAACTCAATTGAAAGTGTGACATCTGTCCTCCATTTTCCTCTCAACCTCATCTACATTAATTATTTAAAATGGCTTAATTAGGAAAATGTAACATGTCTGTTCATGCCAGAGAGATTTTGATGTGAGTCATGTACACATTTTGACTATTTTCTTGGAATAGTCTTGAAGAGACATTACACATTTCCAGACAAAACCCAGGGCCCCAGAACTGTGAGGCAGCCATGCTAACAATTACGTTACCATGCAGCCCAACAGGAATTGTCCTATTTAAAATAACTCTTACCTTGAGTTAGATTGGAAACTGGAAGAATCTACAACCCTTCAGGAATCACATTTGCTTCTCATCAAAACATCCCAAAGTAGTTGTCACCACAGTAGTTTGCCCTTAGTTGTATATATGAGATGTTCATATGTTCTAATTGGCCTCCACTTCTCACTCATTCCTGTAGATGTGCCCCTAAGCATTTTAGCCACCAGCAGTGTTTTCACTGTGTCTCCTTACATTGACGCAGCGGAGAAAGATGAAGTGGGACTCTCCAACTGCCTCCTAGAAACCCCAGCACTACCCAATGGAGATATTCATACCACTGCAGAATTGAAACCACTAGGCACTGACAAAGAGGGAGAAAATCATCTGTAAGTCACCAATCTTCCATGTCTTTAAATGTGGGGAATCGTTATTTCTGAGTTTGTAATTTAAGTCATTGTGTATTCAATTTCACTCTATTATTATTATTATTATTATTATTATTATTTCACTCATATTATGGCACACAGTACCTGCTGTCATGTAAAATACTGCGAAGTGACACAATAATGTTTCTTTATTTTGTGTGCCTATTAAATCAACTACACATACACATTTAATATATAACATATTTAAATGAATGGAGAAAAGCTACTTACTGGTGTTGTGACATCCTAAAAATGGAATAATATAGATATTATTTTTTTCCTAGGTTCTAGAGCACCTTTTCAACAATAGCACCTTCTCTTTAGCTTTCAGTCCTGCTAAAAACAGTGTAAAGATTTAATAAGTGCTGTAAATACAAGATGCAAAATGCATTCTGTATGTCTTTCCTGATACTTCATACATGTGTCAACAGCACCAGAAAATATGATGATGCTAAGCACAGAATCAATAATCATAAAACTGCTGGTGAGATAATTACAGTATCTGTACAAGTCAGAACCCTTACTGTTGTGACTCTCTTTCAGTGTTCCTTGGTCTTGACTACAGTCAAGTTGGGTTTTGTCTCAAGGCAGTTTATAATGATATTTTGCTTTTTAAATTCTGGTAGTTTTATTGTGTGAATTAATCAAAACAGGACTTTTACAGCTGATGCCATCAAAGACTTTTTTCACAATAATGTGATGTCACACCAAATCCACGGAGAGTGAGTTGGTTCATACCTGTCTGCAAACATGGTTGGACAGTAACTGGAACTGTTTCAGGTGTTTTATACTATCAATACCAGGTGCTGTGTGATTAATAACCAGTTAAGCCCAATAATAAAGCCATTACATCTCTGAAGGAAATGGATTGAACCTGACCTGGTTTGGCTAAACCAGAGCTTTGGCATTATCCTTCCTCTAATTCTCCTTGCTGGTTCATGGCATGTTTTTCAGTTCCAAGGACAAGATGAAGCAGACTTCTCTTGAAGTTGGCAAACACTCAACTAATGAGGTTAGTCATGTTTCAACCCATCAGACTCAGAGGGCACAAACCAATTGGGTTTTGGTGATAGACATCCATGATCCCAATGAGACATGGTCTTGAAGGTATTATGCCTTCAAGTCTTCTATGGCTACCCTTTTATGAATGCCCATCATAGGAAATTAGCTCTTTGTTTTCAGGTGTTGCCATGCACATACGATACATTAACTATACTTTGCCATGGTTTTACAGTTTTGCCAATCAATTTTTATGAATATACCCAGCTCTATTTTACATTTTTTAATAATGAAATATAGGACTAATTCTGGCCTACCAAGTTCAATGAAAGTCTTTTCAAACCTAATTCATAATGTAAAGTTCCAGATTTTGGTGTAGAGCTACACACAATGGCCAAAGTATTATGAACTCAACATAAAATGTCAGCAAGAAACGTTTGAACAGGACATGACATGTAGTCCACATGGTTTTCACATGCTGCCCAATCGTGATTGATTTCTTCTCCAGGACCACCTTCATAATCCATGGAATGTTGGCCAGTGGGTGTGCATGCATTTATGCCTCCAAATGTTAGCTGCTACAGAAATAACATTTTCTATTACGGTGCATTTGCATGGAACATGAGTGTTCCAATGAGGAAAGATGGCCTTACACAGCTGTTTCTTCTTGACATGATGCTTGCCACGTTTCTCTGTCATTAGGAGTAGTATCCAAATCCCCCAGTGGACATTTTGGTGAAAACCTAAAGTTCTTGGAATCCACAGCTGGATGGGTAGTGCTTTTCCCAGGCAGGAGATCCAAATTGACATTCTACTTAATTTTAAAACCTCCAAGAGTCTTTGCCTGCTGCTTGCACAACAAATGGTTCTAAACATTGACCACCCTTTATTTGAAAACAACGTTTCCCACTTGATGAAGTTGAGTGGAATTAACTGTTTTGAGTTTCTTTTCTTAATGCAGTCTTTGTTTTCCAGGTCAGTGTAGTCCAAGAGATTCCCAGTGACAATTCAGATCAAGGTACAGCCATTTTTAATTCAGTATAAATAACCAGTATTTGTTAAGCAAATCTAGCTTCCCATTAATGGCCTGTTATGGACTTCCTGTGTGTTACAGTCATATTGACTGGCAGTGGGTGTCATTATCAGCATATGTCAAGTGATTACATTTGGATTACATGAACACATGCCACATAAGAACAAATTCATAGTAACATAAAAACTGAAGAGTAGGAGTGCATTATAACAGCTGAAAGATTCAGATATTTTCCTGTTTTGTTTGAATAGATTGCTCACTGAAGTAAATAATTATTAATTTATTGTTTTACTTTACCATTCAATATTTGTTTGTCTGTTAGTATCTTTACCCTCTGTATTCGACTGTAACTTTCTTGCAGATGCCAACTGATTTTTAATGTTCTTTAACATTATGAAAGGGATTGAATTGGTGAGGGATTAGTGATTAACTTTCCTGTTGTTGCTATTTATTTTCTATAATGGCATACATATACAGTATATGCTAATACATTAAGGTGATTGCTTCAAATAACAAACCATCTGTCCGTTTCAGTGTCCAGTAGTATCCAGATTGGGAAGAGTGACCAGAAGCATGTATTAAGTGATGGATCACAGTTGCAGATTCCAACAGTGTCAGTGCAGGTACGGACTCTGCTGATTCGCTTGCAGTAGGAGACTGGAGAGGCCTGCTGCTTTGTGACTCATTTGTATCAGACTCAGTGAACTGAACTGCTGTCCTGCTGTTCCATCCTATGACCGTCAGTGTGGATTTAGCAATCGCGAACAGATCAGCTTTGCAAATTAAGAACAGGAGGATGGGAGGATGAGATATAAAGATATTGTTACTTTATAAGAAGTGTGTGTGTGTGTGGGGTGGGGGGGTCGTACGAATAAGTGCTTTATAAGTGATAAATAAATCCTAAACCTCCCACAGCCTGCAAGTTGTACTGAAGTTTCCTGAGATTTTTTGTGAAAACTCAAGCTGCAGAATTGTGAACATATTATGACCTCCTGACAGTGCTGCTAGAAGCGCCAGATCACAGGGCCTTGCGGTAATCTAATCCAGAAGTATAAATGCAGGAAGTAATCTCCCTGCTTCTGTCAGTGGCAGTAAAAGGGCCTAAATGAGCTATGGATCCTCGCTTACTTCTGGAATGACTGTGTTGCCCTCTACTGGTATGTTTAGGGAATAAGATGCATCATTACTTTACTGGTGAATAGGTTTTGCATTTATTTTAAATGATCTAACACAGGAACAAATAGGAAAAAGCCAACACAGACAACAATGTACAAGTGGTTCAGCACCCATCGTAAAGGAGGCCCCTCCCTCCATGACATCATCCAAGCTTGCAGAGCTCAGGAAGTCTCCATACCTGTTAATTCCAACCCTGCGCCCAGTGGCTTTACACCAACTCTGTACCCCTGCTTGGGGAATCCTGGTCAAAGCCGGCTAGCGGATTGACTTGGGTTCAACTTTACAACATCAGGAGAATGGATCTGATCTCATGCTTGGAGAGGGTGACTTTTCTGGTTTAGGGCACAAAATCAGTTTCCCCAGAAATATACTTAAGTCTTTCAAAAGAACTACTATATGTCCCACTCTAGTCTATTTTCAGATGATGGGGTTTCAGCTAATTTTGAATAACCCTAGCAATAGTTTATTTCTTTTGCCAGCTGCTGCCAATGGGTTTCTGGTCCTCTGTGAACTTGCAGTGTTATCAGTCCTTTGTCTGACCCTTAACCTGGCAGTTTTACGCTGTGGTCTTGCAGCATGAATGGATGATGAAAGTGCCCATTTCAGTGGACATCTGTATACTGTACATCTCTCACATCCTGGTACAAGGGTTGCAGCAAGTTGGGTTAATCCAAAAGTCTACAACAGGCCTACAACAAAACAATCTGTGATTCCAAGGATGTGTGCCTGAGACTGAGAAGTACTGGTATCTGTGAGTCTTTTGCATGAACCATATTCCACTGTAGCACTAACCCCACCCTCTGGTCTCTGTTCAGATGGACTCACCATCAGAAGGAGACTCAGACACACTCTCCAGCAGTGCTCCATTAGAGCATGTGAGAAACCCCATGAGACCCAGCAACTCCATGTCCAGCCTGCAGTCCAGCACCATGGTGAGCACATTGTTATAGCCTACCTGCATCACAGTACAGAAGCAGCACTACTGATTTCCTTCTCAAAACCAGCACATGAAACATCAACAGAGCTGTACGTCTCAGAAAGTAATCATGTTTTATATGTGTCGGCAGTATTCTCTTGTCTTAAACACAAGTCTCTTGACCAGCTATTGGAAGCAGCTATTATTATCCTGCAGACACTGATGACATACAGGGTTGGTTTCTGAACTAGAAGCACCTGTTGTTGCTCATATTTAGACAATGCATAGTCTGCATGAAAGCAAAATAAAATACAGAGTAATAGGACAGAATTATTCTGCATTTTGTAGCCCAGCCAATATATATACATTTCAGCAGTAGTACTTAATACCCATTGTTTTTAATCATCACGACTAGTTAAAGTTACTGAAACTTCTGCATTAAGATGACTTGAACTTGGTGCATCAGTTTTTAAAAGGGACGTGTAAGAATCCACAATTCAGGTTGCGAGATACTGTTCAAAATCTTGTTGTTAATGTACCAGTTTGTGTCTTCAGCATCTCTCATTGTTGTCATACCCTTTGTTACTTTTTTAGCAAATGTGTATTCGTCAATGTTTTATGTATCATCACTCCAGAGGATATGTGCTGAGTGGTGCCACAACAAGAAGACGTTGTAAGCAACCTTAACATCACTTTTGCCCTGGCGAGCTTTAGATCAGAGCGTTGTGCTCCGTGTCTCCGCAGCTCAGCGGCAGCATGATGAGCCTGTTCAGCTCCGGGGAGTTTGGTACTCTGGACGTGAAGGGAAGTGTGCAGTTTGCTCTCCGGTATGACACCCAGAAGGAGGAGCTGCAGGTGCTGGTGTGCCGCTGCCAAGACCTGGCGGAGGCCAAGAAACAGCGCTCTGACCCGTGAGTTGCTCCACCCTCTCTCGGGTTCAGCCAGCAGGGGGTCCTGTACACAACCGAGAGCAGCCAGATTCACTGTTGATGAGACGATAGGGAGACTCTGTGTTTCACCTAAATATTCCTTAATTAATTGAAATAATTCATTTTAATTGAAAAGATGAATCAATTAAATCCAGTGGGTGAAGCATTAACAGCATGTCCCTAGTATTATTCCCTAACCAGTTAAGTAGTGGAGGGGAGTTCTAACTTAAAGAACAGATCATTTTGAACAGCATTATAATTCATTACCTTAACAAATGTGACTTTGTATTTTTTATAAATATTCATGCTATTGAATACAATTGAATGCTCATTATTTTCATGTTTTATTTTTAGTTTATATGCTAAGGACTTACTTAAATCAAAAGTTTAATAAATTGTTTCTCAGTTGCAATCATCAAGAAAAATCATGGACGAGCAATGGTACCACTTTAATAATTGTACTACGTTTCCACCGGTATTGTTTTTAAAAATGAAACAAGAATGTAAAAAAACAAAGTGCTAAAACTCTATTAACACTATTTTAACATGATAAGAAGAGTTTTAATGTAACTATGCAATTGTGCGAACCTTGTTGGTGGAAGAAAATCTCCTTTGCTTTTTTTGTTTTGTATTATTGTGATACTGGGTCAGTCTCTGCTTCCCATCTGGTGCTTGTCAAACACGCAACACAACCCAACGCACGTGTGTGATCTGAACGTGACTTTGCAGGAAACAGGAAGTAAGGTGTAGTTTAATGTGCTTGATTGGTTTTCTAACATATAGTATACAGAGTGGTACCAGATCTAAGATTTGGGATGGTTTGGACACATAGACAGAAACCTCACTTCTCCAGTTTCAAAAAGAAATCAGGAAAAACAACTAGGCTGTGCTGCAAATCTCAACATTCAACAGTGCATAATATTACATGAAATTATGGAACATGCAAAGGTTAATTTTGGAACATTGCAGCTTAATCCAGATATACTGCTATATATTGCTAGAATTTGCAATACAATCCTAATACCACAGTTTGCAAATTAAGTGCATCTCCTGTAGTAATTGGTGTTATATCATTGTTGGATTGTATTTGGTCTTCTTTTTATGCTTAACGTATTTTGTCAGCCGCATTTTGTACCCCAGCAGACTTACTTTCATTCATCTGGAAAGTTGTCTTGAAATATGGAATTTTTGCTCTTCTGTTTTAGTTAAGATGCTGAGGCTCTTGTCTATTTGGTGTCTACTTTTTCAGGTATGTTAAAACTTACTTACTCCCAGACAAATCCTCTCACAGCAAGAAGAAGACTTCAGTGAAGAAAAAGACTGTTAACCCCATTTTTGATGAGACCCTCAAGGTGAGTCCTGAATCCATGTTCATAACCTCCTGCAGTACACCTTCCTCAGCTGCCTACAGCAAATCAAAGGCTATTGACCTCTCCGTTTTGTAAATTGCCATTTCTGCTCATCATATATAGCCTCAAAAAATATCACAAACATTTTCTGCCAGTATTAATAATCGTTCAGTTTAGGGCTGCAAATACAAAGAAGATGAAGATAGCCTGAGTAAATATTTAACACAAAGATATAAGATATATTTGGACTATTAAAAAACACAGTGATCCTCAAGGAAATATATTTCTTTGAATAATTTTGAGAAAACAGTTCAGTAACTGGTAGAACCTATTACAGCAAAAATTCATTTTTGATGTTTGAAGGTGGCAGCTGCTAGCAACTGCACAAGCCATTTTGGGGCAGGGGGCCTCTTCTCATGTATAAACATGCCCTTTTCTGTTTTATTATTTTCCAGTACAAGATAAAGATATCAGAGGTCAAGAGCCGCACACTGAACCTGTCAGTGTGGCACAATGACCCCCTGCGACGCAACATCTTCCTGGGTGAGGTGGAGGTTGCCATGGCAACGTGGGACTGGACCAACACACAGCCAACCTGGTACGACCTTTCGCCTAGGGTGAGTTTTCCAGTCTGCCCATATTAAATTGCCCCATTAGTCCACAAGCACGCTTGCGGGTTGAGACAAGAACAAATTGTGAATAGAGACAGCAGCAAACATCTGACCTGTTCTAGGGGTGCTTAGAAAATGAGTAAATGAACTGTGAAAATTGTGTGCCTTGGAATAATATAATTTAATTTATGTGTGTGTATTTACACAATAGAGCCAGCTTAGATGTATGAGCCATTTTTCAAAAATATTTCTCCATTTAACAGGTGTATACACTGCTTTTGGCTGGCGATTTACTACTAAGTTTCTTAAGATTTACAAGTAGAATTTGAGTTATATGAGTCACATTAAGTCATGAATCTTTGTATTTCCAATTGAGAAAGCAAGTGGCGTTAAATCTATAATTATTTTAATTGTAAATATTGTAAATAGTAGGGAACTGTAAATTCTTCAATTTTGAGAAATAAAGGAAGTCATTGCTTAATCTCTATTTGCATTGGAAAAGCTGAATTCTGCACTGAAAAAATAATTCAGTTTATGGAGGCTGCACATATAAAATCAGCTCACTGAAGGACAGAAAACACTTCTTCATACCTTCAGGAAACACTGTATGAATTGTAACACGTTACCCTCCTTCAGTACAGCTTTTGTAAAAGTGGCCTCTTTCCATGCCTAAAGTGATCATTCACCTATTTTATTAACATTTTTGAAACACTATTACACTTGCACTCTCACACTGCCATGTGAAGTTATCAAGTGTTCTGGTACCTGATGCTGACGTGACTGTTTGTTGCAATGCAAGAGAGCCTCGTGCATATCAACTACCAACGCAGATGTATTTTCTGATATACTGTACAGTGGTTACACACATACAGTACACTCACACAGGTTAACATTAAATTGATTCATCTGTTGTAATTGAATACACTTCAGTACTTTACACTTAGGTTATATGTAAGTAAATGGGAACTTGGAGCCTCTGTGTCCATTGAAATGATAATACTCATTACACGGTATGACAAGATGCCATGATACAAATATCACTGCAAGATACAGAAAGTTTGAAATTGTTTAAAATGGAGCATATTGTGTGTATTTAAAAAAAAAATCACTTTCGTAGGTCCAGATGACCATTGACTCCATCAGTGCCAGGGGCACAATCATGCTGTCTTTGAAGTTTGTTCCTGCAGGAGCAGAAGGTGGGCATCTGTGATGCATCTCATCTTCCTTTTTCACACCATTTTACAGTTTTTCATTTAAGATTGTAGGTATTGGTAAAATGTAGTATTCTGTATCTTTGAGACACCCTGCTGAAGTAACCTATTGTGTAGCAGGGCTGCTGACACACAATTACACCCAGGTGGATGAAATGGGCCCCCTGCTATATGTGGTGCTTTGAAAGCCTTTCAAATGAAAAGTTCTGTGTAAGCGCACAAAATTACTATTAAGCACATTAAACATATAACAATGTGCAAAATAGCTACGTGAAATCTGGTGAAACTACATTATGGTACTGATGAGCATCGGGAATCTCATAACCTGCTGAGAAAATGTAAAAGAAGACAGTGGTCATGTAAAAACATAAAGAGGAATGAAGGCCTGAAGGTTTTGATGCCCCTTACAGGTAATGGCATGCCCCTGACAGGAGAGCTCCATGTCTGGCTGAAAGAAGCACAGGGCCTGATTCCCACCAAAGGAGGCAGTGTGGATTCCTTTGTCAAGAGGTACTGTAGGCACATCACTGTAGAACAAGAGTCATGACACACGACAGTTCTCCAGAACATACAGCATCTAAAGAAACCTTGATAGCCTCAGTGTCAGTGTCTAAAGCATGCAGTGATTTCTCGGTGTTGATCAGGAGGTGAACATTGTTCGGTTTGCTTGCTAAGGTTCCTTTTTTGAGCTCAAGGCCAGTTCAGCTGGAATCGGTGTGAACAGGGAAGTGAATGGGGTGACCTAATCTTCTAGGATTACACTTCCTCTCTCCCCTGTCTTGCTGGAAAGCACCTATCAAGTACTGCATTTGGAAACTATGACTGCTATGCAACCAAAATGGGTTCAGTTCATTTCCATCTCGATTGTGAACAGCTTCACCTGGCAAGGAGAAAAAAAAAATCTATGTGTCCACAGTATACCTGTGTGCTCACTGGCCAGAATATTAGGATCCTCTCCAACCAAATGTGTAGGACCTTCAAGAGCATCAAGAAAAGCAGAGGATGGGCACATTCATTTTCCACAAGTTTCCTAGATATTTGTAGCTTGCTGCTATTCCGTTCTACTATCCCATTATTCTGAACGGATCTCCTTCAGCTGAGGTTGTGATGGAGACTAAATGGTATATTTCACCTGTTCGAATCGATTTCAATTGGATCAAAATCCTTTTTCTGGCTGGGAAAGTTGATTAAATTCTTTATGGTGCTTTTCGAGCCAAAGACCCATTGCCTGTCTTAGACCAGAGGTTACAAAATCTTAAGCCAAATAGTGTTCAATCAGTTGTTCCCTCTAAGATGACGGATTCTGCTAAATGTGCGCCACTGTGATCTGGGCTCAAATTTCCTGCTCACCTTTTATTTGCAGGGCAGTAGAGTAAAGCAATTCATTTCTCAAGCAATCTAAATTAAAAGTTCTCTGAATGACAGCTCGCCATTCCTCTCCTTCTGCAGTTATGTGCTCCCGGATGAGAGCAAAACAAGCCGGCAGAAAACCCGCGTGGTAAAGAAGACCCTGAGCCCCACTTACAACCACACCATGGTGTATGATGGCTTCCAGGTGGAGGACCTTCAGGAGGCCTGTGCTGAGTTCACTGTGTGGGAACATGACACTTTCTCCAGCCAGCTCCTGGGAGGGGTGCGGCTCAGTCTGGGCACAGGTAGGCCACTAGGCCACTGGCTCCACAGTAGCAGGAGATGAAAGACTGGACAGCTGTTGAAATGTGTTTACCGAAGGCATTTGACATGAACAGCACTGCTTGAATTCATTTAATTTACATAATTGCTTAATTCCCAGTAGGAACTTGTTTAAAATTCATAAGAAAATTACAAAAAAATGGGCATGTCATACAGCAAAACATATTCTGTATTCTATATATTCTGTAGCCACACAGACAGGCAAATTCAAAGGAAGCGAGGGTCATAACTGGTAGAAACACGGTAACATACAAACCCAAGGAGAATCGGAGAGATAGGGTGAGGGTTCAGTCCAAGTTCAAGGCCAGGGCTGAAGTCCAAACGAAGCCAAGGGGTGAGCTGGGAACATAGTCAGGGAACAAACACAGAAACGAGGGGGCTCAGTGCCCAAACTCAATGACAGAGCCCCGAGCAGTGTCGGGCCCCAGTATTTATTCTGAGGAGCACCTGGGACATAAACTGACTCCAGGTGCTCCGAGTCTGCAGGTGATTAGATTTCTGTGGCAACCAGAAAAGGGAGATGGGCTGGTGATGATGTCACTGACATCTATACCCACAGTTCAGCAGCCAGGGTGACAGGTTCACTTTGAATGAACAAATAATAGAAACATTGTTATTAGTTCTTATATTTCTTATTGAGACACTGGTATTTTACACTAACATTACAGAGTTTTCCAAATTTGTTCAGCTTTATGAAAGCAACTTCAGAAGTTTACAGGTTCACATTTACCTATCACAGTGTAAACATGGGCAGGAGAAAGAAAAAGTCCATCACTGAAGAGGTTCACAGCAAAACAGCTGTTTCAAGGGTAAAACAAAACTTGTCGCTTGCTCAAGCACACCTACAGTACTCTTGACTAGGCTATAGTCTATAGCAAAACATTTGTCTTTTTAAAACCGAACGTGCATGTACCCCCTTGAAAGTGACATGGGATATGAACATTACTGAGAAACGAAATATCAATTTTTATTTCTCTTCCTCCAAATCTGGCTTTAATCCAACCTAGACATGATCATTGTTTCAGCATCTGTATATTTGTGCATGTTATCTGTAAAGCCAATTCTGAAATAAATCGATTGATACATGGACTGAGACTTGAGATTGGGATCCCAATTAAGACACACTACCTTTATTTGTCAGCTTCACAGTCATTGCCACCGCATATCACGTCTGAGAGAATGACCTGCCAGACAGCGTTCCTCAATGCTCAATGTGTTGTGTTCCAGGCATCAGCTATGGCGTTCCTGTGGGCTGGATGGACTCCACGGAGGAGGAGAAGAAAAGCTGGAGAGCCATGATTTCCCAGCCCAACACCTGGGTGGAGGCCACACTGCCCTTGAGGACCAATCTAGCGCCACGCAACATGGGCAAAGAGAACTGAGAACAGGCTTGGCACCTTAGTTAGGAGGCAAGGAAATGAGTGAAGCCTCTCAAAAACATAATGGAACTGCTACACGAAAGAGATCACTGAGGAGTGTGAAACAGGTTTTAGAGCAGAGAAAACATACAGTAGCACACTTTAAGCACTCAGCGCAGACATCTAATGCTGTTCAGCTGTACCAGAACATAAAGGGGTAGTTTATTTTTGTTTAGTTCAAGCAATAGTCCTAGATGTCCTTCCGCAGATGAACATTAGGTAGTCCAGGTATAGTGAATATTAGGGCTTTTAACACTGAGAAAATGTCTAATAAAACTAAATGAAAGGTTTAGATGAGGTTGTTCTTTAGCATTTATTTAGGGTTTTGTACTGCTTGTACAATAGTAGTGAAAATTCTAGATCTGGAAAATTTGATCAGTTTTGTCAGACCACTGCCCTGATTAAAAAACATTATAAAACTAGTTGAAAATAACTTACAAACCGCACATTTGAATTGACCTAGGAAGCTTTATTTATCAAACTTTAACATTAAAAATGGGAAAACAGTACAATTATATAAAATATGCTGTGTAGTGGCAATCTTATGTCCGATAAAACGTTATTTACTTAAGAGAATTTTTTATGATACTTTCTTACTATCTAATTATTTTATTTTTCTGTGTACTTTATTTTATTTGCCTTTTGGGTTTTTTTTGTGTGTAAAATATATGCCACGTGAAACATCCAGTCCACCATTTACATACCTTGAAATCACTTCTCAAAACTATGCAGATGAAACAAATTTGAATTATTTTTACCAAGGAAAGTTGTATAGATTAAGGTTGTTTACAAGGGGGTCTCCTGTAATTGTCTCCTCCCCCTAAGCTGATAGTAGGCTTCTTTTAAACTACAGTGTCCAGTGAAGGAGTGGGTTAGCATTGATGAATCTGATTTTTAGCTCAGATCGAATTTCCTGCTGGTTTGAATTGTGGGAAATTCAGTTCACTTACAGTAGTTAATACAGCCCCAAAATAAAATAACAGTTCAATGAACAGAACTGACTCACTGAGAAGAGCTCACAATCACAACACTGAGCAAGACAGATGTCCAAATGTTTGCTTCCCTGGGATATGAGTATCTACTGTAGATTTCATTTTAAAATAAATGTATGTATCAGTGTAGTAGACAGGCAGTCAGAACATTCTATTAAGATAGCAATACCTTTATCTAGTCCTCTGAGAGACTTACAGAGGCTCAATCTGCTTGCTGTTTTGAAAACAATTTGAACAGCATTCTTGTTCTGTCAGAGTTCTCTGCGAAGCACTGTTCTACTTTTTGTCATTTATATTTTTAAATACCAGATTAGACGGAAGAAAAAGGTTTTTATGCAAATGAGTTTTTTCAGTCTTGTCTTGTATTTTGTATCACTTCTGCCTTTATGGTCTTTAAATCCTGGGTTATTTGGCAGTTTCCTGAAAATTGGGTTATTGATAGTGCTGTTTGTCCTCAAGAAGGTACTGTATAGAATATATTTTAAACAGTTCCAGCTCCTTGCTTTCTGAACATTTCTGAATGTTTTTAAAAATGCAAAACATAATTGCAAAGAATCTGTAAAATTGAATTTTGTATAATGTTAACAGTCACAATTTAATATTAGACTACTGTAACATTGTTCTCTTTATCACTGTTAACAACTTCAATATACACTGTTTAGATTATTTGAATTTGAAACAACTTTGTAAACTGTAAATGCCTTCAACCACTGCCATAAAAATATGCTTTACTTTTGATCACCTTGTCTAACCTGTGGTTTACTCGACATCTCTGATAATTGGACACTAAACTCCACCACTAGTTTAGAAGTATAAAGGTATAAAGAGGTTGACTGCAAGCTAGAAAATAATGCCCCACTGCTGAGCTTCATGAAAGCCAATGAAATTGATAGTATACAGAAATGAGCATTAGTAATCAATCACTCAAGCCATATTTACTTAATAGTAAATATGTTTCTTGAAAGCACAATTGCAACCTGATACAATATTCCAAGGAATGCTGGCCTCTGTTTAACGCAGGTAAATTGTCCTGATGGGTGTGTTTAACCAACCAAATGTTAAGCAGTGGGCGGTATAAACAAAATGTACAAATGTCTGGTAATTTTGAGATTTCCACAGTATGTCCTGTACATAGTCTTGACAAGGAATCTTGATGGCTTCTCTTCTCTGTAAGCACAAATTGTGGGTCATGACTGATCTGCTGTGCTTTTCACTTGGACGTCATTCCTCTCCGTTCTTCCATTGGTCACACACTGGACAAGACACTTCTACCTGGGATGTACTTTCAGAAAAAAAAAACACATTTCGAAATCGCTGAATGCAATTGCTGAATGTGGCTTGATTCATTGTAGAAGTGTTGTGGTCAATTTTATGTGCTTTTTTTAAGGTTGAATGAAAAAGGAAAATGATCTGATATTTTTCCCTAAATGGTGTAAAGGCACCCTGCTACAGTAATAAGAACATTTGAAAAGTCACCAAGAAAATGGACCCACAGAACTCATTTGGGCGAGAGTAAGTTTGTGATCGCCATCCATTTTTGGATCCCAGTTCCAATTCAGAGTTGGGGAGTTTGTTCCAAACATTTAAAACGGTCCGTACTATGAAGCCTCCTGTTTGCAAACCTAAATACACACCCATTTAGTTTCCACTTGTTTCACTATTGAACCCGAAGTAGTCCTCTAGGCTGATTTTGTCAATATATTAAAGGCTTGCAAACATTGTTTCTTTTGTTCAAGACTTAAGTTCATTTAACATGATCTAGTTTCTTCAACCTGTCAGCAGAAGACATTCATTCAAGACCAAGAATTAACCCTTCAGTCCTTCTTTGAACTGATTCCAATGTGACAATTATATTACAACTATATTACCATAATTTAATTTCTTTTCTGGACACTACATAGCCAATCTACTTGTATATTTGCATTCCAAATTCACAAATGAGTTTTATTTTTATTTTTAAAAAAAACATGTCTTTATGACTGCAGTTCATGCATAGTTTTTATAGTTCTCAATTTGACTTTGTGTTGTAACTGATACTGTGAATGAATCGGACTTTATGTACAGGCACTAATCATAAGACTAACAACTTTTTATAGTGCTGACAGAGAAGAAAACATGCTGACTTAGTGATTATTTGATAGCCATAATGCCCTTGGACGATGCTACAAAATACACCCACTAGTCGTCCTTACTTAAATAAAGCTAATATTTAATTTTTGCACATTTTAAATACTTGCACAAATCTTCAGATGCATACATCTCTTTAAAAATCACATCGCCATCGAATACAACAGGGTTCTTAATTTACCTTGCCGTTAGAATTTCTAAAATTCACCTTTCCAAAATATATTGATAAGGGGGGGGGGGGAACATTCATAATGGAAACGACTGTTGATTAGTTACCACTGGTAAAATATACGGTAGTATTTCATTTATCATTTTTAGTCCAACATACTGTGTGAACCTCGGATTACTTTGAAAACCGATTCATATCTTTCACAAAAAGAAATGACAGAGCCCTACAGTTATTACTATTGTATATGCAGTAGTCTAAACGAAATTCGTATAGCCATATAACTATAAAAGAAAAAAACCTTGTTAACAGGTTAATACGAACATTCTGTATAATCAAAATAGAAGGAGACTTGAATAATCACCAAATAAAAAACAGCTGACTGAAATTGCACAAATTATCACGTGAACGAAAAGCCCCATTGAGTCAGAGGCTAGAGAAATGTCCCTCCTTCTAGAATCTTTAGTTCCACCTCCGTTTTTGTGTTTGGTTAATATGACCTCAAGAGAGATTTTTATTGGTCTGACAAGCCAATTACGTCGGAAATAAATAAGTTTAATTACATACAGCGATGGCCTTGCGTGAATGCTAGTTATCTTTTTCGGAAAGGGTCGGGGTTGAGGGAGATCTGCATTATTTTGATTGGTTTCTCAGAGTGTTTCTCTAAAATATTTAACGGAAACATTGCAGATGGAGAAGTTGGTAGCTAGGTTATTAAATGTGATATGGGTTTTCGGCGTGGGTAAGTGCGCTGATTTTTATTTAATCAAAACCAGTTAGCGATCTTTTGTAATCTTTAAACTTTTCAGCTGTTTCTGAGGGGAGTTACTGCTGTTTATACTAACAATAACATGCAATTAGCACGGACTCTTTCTGAAGTAGATGGCCTAGACAGCTTAAGATAACCTTTTTTTAAACTGCATACGTTGCTGTATAGTGTTTCTTTCGTCCTTTTTAAAGAAATGACTGTTAAAAATTAATGCTTTTTTGCGTGCGAGGTTTAGATTTGATTGATAATCATGTTTATTGTTCGTTTATGTAAACGACTGGTAAAATTCTGAATTAAAATATCGATTTGGGTCTCATGTATGCACTTTAATAAGATAATCCCGAAAGGATACACGAGTCGTCGTTCCAAATGAAAACTAAACCCAAGGTAGCTAATGGACACTTATCATCAGACAAACTGAAAGCAGTGATGTCAAAACACAGAAGGATTGTTGCAACATTGGCTTGACTGTCTACTTACTGCCAATATTGTTAAATGCTGCTTGCTGGAGCACACATCGGCATTATCTTTTGAGCCCCATATCGAGACAACATTATTCTTCATGTGTGACTTACTTTCGAAACCGCTTTCTTTGCGTTAAGGAAAAATGAAGGTAGTTGCATTTGTGAAGTCTAACGGACTATGGGAATAAAACAAGATCAGTGTACTTTTCAATACATTATACTGTTATTACAACATTAAGATACCTGCTGTCATTGCTGTTAATTAAGCGTTTCATTGCACTTGTACATATAACAATATTGAACTAACACGAGCTGTCTGGAGCCCCATCCCAGAAGAAATCAAAGACGCGGGCACTGTAGTTTTCGGAAACGGTTTTATGTGATTATTTTATCTTTTGTATCAGCGTTGCTTTCTTAGCTTCAGTTTATTTTTTGGTCGAATGTGCTTTTTATGTTTTGTAAATAGGATTCAGTGGTTTTTAAAGGCGCTATATAAAATATAGTTTATATTTTGAACAATGTCATCGTGGTCATTAGCATGACACCTGTTAAGAAAGAGATCAGTTTAAGTATCTTTTAGCCCCCAGGGATGAAGATTTGCGTAGAGTACAATATTTCCGAGGTTTATAAGTAGATGGACTTTAGGTTGACCTCATGACCATGTTTAGAGACCATTGCTACAAATTAAAATTTGACTGGTTTTGATTGCAGTTAGCTTTAACACAAATATTGCACCTGGTGTCATCCTTCAAGTGGTGTGCTAAACCTGATTTCCTCCTTTTAGTGCTGGAGACCAAACCTGTCATCAGAACACCTGAGTTTGGAAATGTCTACCATGTGAAAGGTATGCATTTTAGAGAAGGTATCAAAAGTAATGTACTGACTGTATCTAGATTAATGTGGGATTAAACAGAATTTCAGTCAATTCTGTTGATTATTTCTGTTAAATTTTGGTAGTGTCGTTGCATTAAAGCTGAGGAAAAACTCTTGAATTCTTGTTCTTTTCTTTTACTTAGAGTTCAGATTCTGATTCTCTCAGATCTCTCTCTTTTTTTTTTTTTCATGCTGATCTGTTTGTAAGTCAGCCCCTGTTCCAGAGCTCTGGACCATTTCAATATTTTGTTCAAGCCAAAGTTGAGGCTTGCTGCATTAATTACCCAGACAGCTGAATGTCTTGTGATGCAGGCCTGCATCAGCAAAAGCTGTATAGCCGTGTGCATTGAGTTGTTGAATCCACTTCCTATCTGCGTCACTACAGTGAAATAATTGCACAAGTAAGACATTTAGCCCTCTTCCCTCTAGATGTGTTTTTGTTGCTTCCCTAAAGACACGTCACTAGTTTGCTTTAGATTAGGGTTGTGTTTGGCAATTCTAAACCAAAGACTGATTTGTCTTAATTTAATGTAAAGTGAGATTAGGGCATTTTGTAATGTTTTCATTTATCTCTAGATACAGCACACACTGCCTGGATAGACAGTGTGGCGACCCCAAAATCCAATATTACTTTTTTCCCTGTTTTAAAAAATAAATGGAGCTTGAAAATCCCTAGTGTACTGTATCTGTTTATTTTACAGTGCCACATGGCTGTTTACAAATTAGTAGGCCCTTAATTTGCAGTATTGCAGCACTCTTTCATATTATTCATATTACATATTTCATATTACTTACAAAGCTACTACTATACTTCGCTTTATTCCATATAGAAAGACCTTTCAGAAATTAGTGAAAGTTTCTTCTGTTCGGCAGGTGTGATCTCCCTCCCCTATGCTGAAATTGAGGAGCCTTTTGAAGCCTGGTACAACCTATCAGGTGCAGTGAGCCGGATAGATTACTACAATGGTGAGTAGAGCCACAGGAACAACCGCGTGAAGGATAGCGCAATCATGGTAAAACACGGTTAAGGATAATAAAGGGAAAAGTAAAATGAGCAACGGGACTACCCTGCAATAAAGGTTACAAGGAACACAGAAAACGTGGCCTCAGCATCACGGCATTCATTCAAACATTCTTTCAAAAGGGTAAAGCCTTAAAGATGTGTGAAAGACCATCCTGTAGTAGCATGAGAGCTGCTTAAGAGAGGAAAGAAATTTATTTTATGCAGCCTCAGAGCATTTGCCTCAGTATTTTTTTTTAATTCTGTAGTTCATATTGGAAAAACTCTTAATTCTATGCATGAACCATTTTACCAGCATTATTGCTGATAATCCTTCCCCAATTAAAAATCTGTTGACTTTAGGATGTACTACAGTCACAGTAACATGCACTAATAGTAATCTTGGGATTTAAGTACTTGGTTTTCATCAAAGGTAACAACTGTTTGTGCCAGAGGTAGACTTTGGCTACTGTAAGTGACTTTCAATTTCTGTCTTTAGGCCAAGTCTCCACATTTCAGTACGGGTTCCAGAAGCCTGCAGGGGCCAGCTACAAAATCAGTCCTGAGACCACGGAGACAGAGGTCAATGCCATGAAGTGCTTCCAGGTCAATGGAACCAAGGAAGATCCTGTTCTACCTCAGGGTGTTGTCCCTAAGCTGGAGGGTTTCCAGGTATCTCTTCCAGTCAGAGTGAGACAGAAAAACAGTGCATTGTTCATATCTAAAAAATTATCACATTCTCAAATTAGTACCTGCAGGAATAATTTGGTGCTTGCAGATATCGAATGTAATCTCTTAACTCATTTGTTAACTTGCCTGTCTCTTCCACCACTTGGGTGGTGTTTGTTGTGTTGCTGCTGTGCTGTGTGCATGAACCACTTGCTGTTTTCTTATCTTTGATATCCCTGTTTGAGCCTGAAGTCCACTGTCTTGGGCCATAGTTAAACTAAAGGTTTAGAGTCGCATGTCTCCGGTCATCTAATACTCATGAAGGCGCATTTGGGCGAAAGCCATGAAACGTGATTGCGGACCTTCAGTGTATTTTTTATAATGTTGACATGCAGGAAAACCTCTACTCTCAAGCAGCACTGCTTAATGGCATGTCCTCTAGCTTGTAGTAAGGAATGACGGCCAAAGATTATTGATGTTAGAGTAAGAGTTAAACTGGCGTTCACAATGCTTATTAAACCATATGCAGAAAAGGCAGCCACAGGAATGTCATGCTTGTATAAGAAAGTAGCCATTAGCTGCACGTTCAGCATTCCTCAGAATGTGTTTCACTCCTGTGCTGCCAGGGTTGGTTGGTCTTCTTGGCCCTGGTCAACCAGGCTCAGTGGCTTTCAGCATATCTGTGAGCTTGCTGTGCAATCAGTTAGCATTGTTAGTCATTTAATTAATACAAATAATCCAATGGGCACTGTGGGCTTTAAAGTGTTAAAAATTGCATTTTCATATTACAGACTTAAGCATCCCATGTGCATTGTTTGTGGTGGCAAAGTGAAATTGATTAACAGTTGCCAATTGTGCATGTCCTTCAGCTTGTGAGAACGGAGTATTTTAAGGGGCTCCTGTGTGAAGTGTGGCAGAATGTGACTATGGAGGGACACAAGAAGAACACCTACACCCTGTGGGTCTCCAACTCCTCAGATGGGTCAGCTGTCCCACAGCACTACGAGATGATGGGCTACAATACCCTGCTGGGTTCCCACTATGACAAGTATGAGGTGGACTACACTAAATTTGAGCGCTGCCTTGACCCCCAGTCCTTTGCACTACCTGAGGGTATGTCTGTCCTTGTGCCTGTATGGTGCTAAACTCTGTCAAGTTTGGAAACTATCTTATGTATGTTCTCCTGTATGATCTTCTCTGATTTGTCTTGTCTTGATGGACAGAGGATTTTAGCATAGTGGTTGCCCTTGAAATCTCAATGTCACATACGCATTTTAATGCTATTTCATCATGTACTTTTATTTACTTGTTTCTACCGTTTTATCTTGCGATACAAACCATATTAAGACTTAATAACCAGTACTGGATGAACTACAGCTTGAGGAGAATACCCTCGTCTTTCCCTCTACAGGCATGAAGTGTGAATCATTCCCAGGCCCTGGGGTGGAGCATAGGATTCTGGCCAATCCCATGCAAGATCTCATCCATACCTGCCCCACAGGACACGCCCAACACTTGTTTGGCCACTTCAAGGAGCAATTCCAACGGTGCTACAGTGATGATGAGGAGCATGAGAAACGTGAACACACCTTTGTGCAAAATCTCCGGTAGGCAAGGAAGTTGAGTTCTCTATATTTTGGGAAGTCATGATGAAATCAATAGGGATAGTGCAGTTAAAGGTTTTTCATTTACGTGGCTGTCACTGTACCCTGGTTCTTGGCCTGTGATTTCTTTAGTTTTTATGGATTTTATGGATGCCGAACCAGTTTCCCAGCAGCAAGCTCTTAGCATTAATCAGTACTTATTTGGTAATAAGGTTGTTCTGTATTAGTACGCTCTTTGACTTTTTTTTTCCCCAAGAAGAAGGATTTTGATTAAATACCAGTATAACTTTTTTTCCCCCTTTCTCTCAGGTACATTCACTCCATGAACCGGGCAAACCTTTCCTACCGCCTGGCACAGAACCACCTAGCTGACCGGACTGCTGGCGAGCTGGCGGTGCTCAGGGGGAGGGCGGGCCGCAAGACGCCCAACAGGGGTCAGCCTTTCCCCACGGAAATGTACGCTTCTGTCCAGGTCCCTGAGAGCATTGACTGGAGGCTCTATGGTATGCATCCACTACAACCCCCAGAATTTTTTTTTAAAAAAAGTTGTTTTTTTAACACGCATCAAAAACCTGGATCTAAGACTCGCCTGGGAGGGGACAACAGTATGATACGGGGTGGACTCTTTATCTTCTCTCATGCACAGTGTATTAGACTAATTGCATTCGATTTCTTAGTGCTTGAAGTCACAGAAGAGAGAATGTGCCTGTGTGACAAATGAAGCCCTTCCTACCCGGCTCTTCTGCTGCGGCGCGGTTTTATAATGTCTACATTTGTGCAGTTTCATACTGTCTACAGGAGAGTGACTTCAGGGCTGTACTCACTCAGTGTACTGAGCCCCTTACACCTGGGTAGCTAACATACTGTGGGGGTCCATAGCTGTCCTGTCTGTACTGCTAGTACTCTAAGAAACCTAACTGAACTCTGATAATCCATCTTCGAAATGTTAAATGTTTGATGGTGAGCTGTGTAGGATGATATGCTTTCTCTTCCTTGAAGATGACTTTTCAACACTTATTAAAATGACTAAATTCTAGTTACCCGCATGTCATTAAGTTCCTACTTTAACAAAGTTGAGCGAAAGCTACACCAGGCATCACCTGTCTGTACTTGGTAAGAGAAGAAAAATGACTCAAGGTGGGTCAGAGAGGTTTGTTCTAGAAAGGCTAGTTTTGAGTCCATCAGGAATCTCGGGAGGAATATTTATTATATGTTAAAATAACTGCAGCTCTTTTCCTGCCTGTCTTAGGTGCTGTAACCCCTGTTAAGGATCAGGCCATCTGTGGGTCGTGCTGGAGCTTTGGTACCACTGGAACACTAGAGGGCGCTCTCTTCTTAAAGGTGACTGCTGATGGGACGTATTTTCAGTTGAAATGCAAAATGTTTTTTCATGTCTTACTGAATACGATTTTGTTAAAGTCATATGAAGAGCTAATGAGTCTCCCATAGCAAGGGTTTATTCCAGAGTTACTGTTGAAAGAGTATTTGATAGTTTTCAGTATTTGTTTGACCTTGAATGTTTGCCTCTTCATCTGAGAACTGACAAAACAGGGTCTTGTCTTTCGGACTGATATGGTGCGTAACTGTCTAAATGTCTGGTTAGAGTTGTATCTAAACTATGAAAAAGAGGCTTTTTATGAGCTAGGTGCATTTTTGGTGGAAATATTCTTCCAAAAACCATTCCTTTCTCCTTTAAGTGGTTCTTCAGACTACATTCTGCTCATTTTTAAGAGCTTATAATGCACGTAGTCCTAAATGTTTCTTTACAGGTGACCAAAGTCTACTGTGTGAATGCTGTACCAGTGGTGTTGCATGCTTTTTCATTTTATTTTTTTTGCCTTTTATGGAAAGGTGAGAACTCGGCTTTAAATTGATGTTTCTCGCCATAATCGGGCACTCGCTGTTGTCTGATTTCACAAAGTTTAGGATGGGGGAAACATTTGTTCTAGTGCACGTATTGACAAACAGGCATTAACAGGTCACATGGCTTCAGCGATGTCTTTAAAAAACAGTGTGGAATGCAGTTATTAATCTATTTTTCTGCTATACAGCTTCCTTGTACAGAATTTAACTGGGATGAAGTCCAAAAACGTAAGCGTTGATTGATCCGTGTGCAAGAAGATAAGATGACAAATCTTTACAGGCCATTCGGTCTATCTTATTTATAGCTCATCGATTTGAGAATCTCATCTATTTAATTTTTGATGGATCCCAAAATAATCACTATCAAGCATGTGGCTGGGGAGTGTGTGAAGATCAGTTTAATTTTTGTTTATCCCAGGTGGTTGTCATTGCGTCGGTAATGCTTTGTTACAGTGATGCTACCCTTTGAAGTTGTTCACGCTGGCCTGATTGTCTCCCTTTGTAGACGGGCTCCCTGGTGACTCTGTCCCAGCAGATGCTGGTGGACTGCACTTGGGGCTTTGGAAACAATGGTTGTGATGGAGGGGAGGAGTGGAGAGCATACGAGTGGATGATGAAGCATGGAGGGATCGCTACTGCTGAGTCCTATGGGTCATACATGGGCATGGTAGGTCACGTTGCCATATTAATCTTTTATAGACGTTTGGGAATCACTGAGTTCGGAGAAGAAAGTGGAACAATGTTCTATGCGTAAGCTTTTCTTTTCTAAAGAGGAGAACATTTATAGCTTTGTTTGCAAGGAGTGCATGGTTAACCGTGCCAATTTGTTTCAGAATGGGTTCTGCCATTACAATAACTCAGAGATGACTGCCAGAATCAAGAGCTACACAAATGTCACCTCAGGTGATGAGGAGGCCCTCAAACTGGCCATCTTCAAAAACGGTCCAGTGGCGGTCAGCATTGATGCATCGCACAAGTCCTTTCTCTTTTACAGCAACGGTGTTTATTATGAGCCCCAGTGTGGTAAGTTTCTCTTTATCATCTTTGCATTTTCTTCAGGTGTACTTGATGTGGATTACTGGTGTTGCTTGCATTTCTCATAGAGCTTGCTGTAGAACAGAGGGGACCAAACTTTCACATTAAAGAGTTTAGCTTTTTTTTTGTTTTGTTTTACTACTCCACGTATACCATGTAGCATGGTCAAAGCTAACGTTGGTATAGGTAATTTCTTAATTTGGAAAGAAATGTCCTTAGCCTGCATGATTTTCACATTTATTATTTAAAAATGAACAGACTTTAATCCATCTTCACAATATTCTGTTTCTTCTTATGCTTAATTGGAGACACAGTGAAGATGTAAAGCATGCTTTTGCACTGAGTACACAAGTACTGTGTAACAAAATGTATCGGAAAAATCTTATCTTTAGTCCTTTTCAGCTGAAGATCTTTAAATGGGAAGATGATCGTTGGTGTATTATACTGTATATTAAGAATTTCTGGCTGATATCTTGCATATATTGATATCTGATATCTTGTTTAGATAAATATATTTGTGACATTTTAAAGGGAAGTTTAGGCACAATTAATTTGTTTTTTAAATAATTGTAAAAGGGAAGACTTTCCTTTTAATGTCAAATGTTAATTAAAGTATGTCTGCTCTGTCACAAAACATAGTTTAATGCTTTAAGATCCTCAATGTAATTTTACTGAAAAAATTAAGATTCTCAGTTGAAATTTCTGAAGTTTGTCTATTCCAAACCATGCTGCCATTCCATTCCCAAAATGCACTTTGGAGTATGTTCTGAAGGTGTTGTGTATAAACCTGCTTGCTCTTGGTAATGTCCGACCATTTGGAATTTACAATTCTGCGCTGTTTTTTTTTAAATAGAAGTGATCTCCATTGTGTTTTACTCTGTTGTGCCTTCCACACAACAAGTACAAAAAGGAATTAGAAATACCGTATGAAGCTGAAGTGAGTTAAAGATCTTTGTAGGTGATGTAACATCTGTCTGTTGTGACGGTTTAGATCTGAGGTATTTGACTGTTTTATGATAAGTACCTACCCATTATTGAATACAAATTACCTTTTGTACTATTTGTAGAGATTAGCTGGGTAGATTTCATTTGTAGCAAGAAGTTAAAATATTTTCTTGGAACTTCAAATATAACTTTGTCATAATATGTAAAGAAGGCTTTTATCTGGAGCTGTGGTGTTGCTGACCTGCAGTTTTGATGGATCCTGTTCAAACTCTGTTAAATGATTATTACTGCATGTAAGGGTGAAGGGCCATTCAGTACGCTTCACAAATTGTGTGCAGTGTAACAATTATATGAGTGTCAATTCTATAAAGTAGTGAATGGGTTTTAAATGTGTATTAATACTGAAAATATTTTATGAATTACATAGTAATAGAAAATAAATGCCACGTCTTGGTTGTGGAGTCTTCTTCAGGTGTGCACAGCTCCAGAGCTGGAATGTTTTTGTTTTTTTTCCCCTCTTTTAAGCATGGAATAAACTTTACTTGTTCCTTTGCAGCTACGGAAGTTGTCTAATTTGTATACATAGTGGCAGAAAGTCCTTGAGTAGAAAATACATTAGATTGTGTCAACAGACCAGTTTTGCATCCTAAATTTGAAAGCACCTTTAAATTAGTAGGGGGCATTGTTTTTCAAAATGCCTTGAGCATGAAGTAATGGATATAGTAGAAGGATGCTAAAGGACCATTATTGGAACCAGTCTTGCTTGCTGTGTTACACTGAATGTTTGCTTAGCAGTTACTGTAAATCACTGAATGTGTTGCCTTGCCGTTCTTCAGGTAGCAAACTGGAAGACCTGGACCATGCTGTGCTGGCCGTAGGCTATGGAGTCCTGCAGGGAGAACCCTACTGGCTGGTGAAGAATTCTTGGTCCACGTACTGGGGTAACGATGGCTATGTGTTGATGTCCATGAAGGACAACAACTGTGGAGTGGCTACTGATGCCACATATGTCACCCTGGCTTGAGCAGGGGTTTCGACCCCATAGCTGTGCCATCAACCTCAAAAGCACGTTTTAGTAACTTGTGAGCTCTGAAGAGTTTTGGAATTTTTTCTGCTCAAACAATGTTGGATATATTTCCTTTCCCCCTAAGGATTTAAAAACGCAAGGCATGAAGAACTTTCCACCTAATACCGCAACCCTCTGTGCAGGTTGGAAGACATTTTAATTGTAGTGACCTGGCGATTTGTAGAAGCATGTATCCCTGGATACCTTTTGTCAGAGATTATGCTTAGGGTTTCCCTGCCAAGGTTCATTTTAAAAGCTGGACTGCACATTTCATTTAAGATCAGGAGCTGCATCATAGAAGGTGCTTTTCATGATAATTTTTTTTTGTCTTCTCATAGCTTTTTTTTTCTCTCAACATTGTCACGGTGTCTGCATCTTCTAGCATAAGAATGAGCACTTTGGATAGACTAAAAGCATATCAAGTAGCCTTCCCTGTCTGTACTGAAAATGTAATATGTGGTTTTGGGATGCATAAGGTGTTAAAGCTTTTGCAAGTTATTTTTCTACTGGCAGGAAGCAATGCCTGTGAAAGTATTAGTACGGTACAGAAATAAACCGGTAAGTTTTCATAAGGATGTGTAAATGGCAATATTTGGCTTACAAACAAAAGCATTATTTTGGACTCAGGGCTTTAAAATGCACCTTTAAAAACTGTTTATTTGCCAAGTATAATTGTAGTTTTGATTACACAGCTTGTGCACAGTAAAAATAGTTTTTGTACAGACCTGTGCAAAACAACATGGAAATGGCCGGTATTGGCTTGTTCTGAACATTAATACTTTTAATGATTTGGAGGTCAGCTTAAGTAGAAAAATGGATAAGGAAATTAATTTTAACACAAAGGCATTAAGGACTGGATACAAGCTCCCACTACATGACCGAGTGTGATTATCAGGAGCCTGGAAGTTGGTTAATGGTTAATTGTACCACTACTTAATTGGATGCACATTTAAAAATAAAGTTGTTTTTTTTTGTAATTGTATTTTCTGGATGTTGAAAAAATGAGTCATGGCTTTTTGAAAATAAACACTTTTTAGCTTTTAAAATACATTTCTGGGGTATACAATTTGCACAAAGAAACTGAAGTTTTATAAATGCTTGGGATCAGCCTATGCAAATTTTAGAAATGCGACTTGTAAATTTCTACTAATACTGTACACTGTATATTAGTGGCATGAATAGCTGTTCGGTGTATGAGTTTTATCAGCTTGCATGAGGTAATGTGGCTGAATGTTTATTGGAACAGGTGTGGTGCAGGATATGAAAGCAAGCCGGCAGTTGTGTTGCACTGGGATTTGGGAGACTGTGTCCTTGGACAGATGGAAATGGTTTTAAAACGGTGATCAAAGCCAAGGCAAGTTCTGTCATTGTAATATTTTACAATAACGTGTTAATTCTTTGGCAGTTCTTGAGTTTATGTGCAACGTAGATTAGTTCAAACCAGTAGACAACGAACACTTTAAAGGATGCCAAAGAATCAATTACAAAACTGTGGATATGCTTTTATTTACAGCTTTCATACAACATTATTCTTCATTCAAACAAAGAAACATAACATGACTGCTGTAGCTTGTTTTATGCTACAGAGGAGCATACAAGTGGAAACGCTACAAGATATCCAAATCTGATCTGAACAGTCGCCCCAGCATTATAGCGCCTGACATACAATTGATTAAGGGATACTCCACCTCAGCCCGTGCTTCCATATGGTTTGCGCTCTAGCCAAGCTTTGTTTTAAATGGAAGTGAATCAATTGCTTAATGACTTTTAAAAACAGCTGCGCAAATTATTAGTTTAGTAATCGTAACATTTAGTAAAAACTCTCTAGCATTAACATTTAGAAAAATGGTAGAAAACAAATTACAAACTCTGCATAGGAGAATACTGTAATTCTGAACAGTACCAGTTGCAGGCTGGCCTGACAGCTATGAACCATCCTACTCAAAGTAGTTGTCATTTGTATTTTCATGTTTTTGTATGTTCCATCAAATTTGAACATTTAATACTGATGGTTCCACCTAGATTAATTTAACATTCATATTCTCCACAACCCTTTTGCAAACTCGTGGAGGTGTGCTGGGGGTTTGTCAGTTTTCCAGTGTGTTGTCTCAATGCCTGGCCATGTAAATTGAAACAAGGCCCTGCACAGTCCCTCACCATCACCATTGAGTCATGTTCTCAGAGCAGTGGAGGTAGAAGTGATAGTTGGCACAAGGAATCACACTGAATGCATTCCACAGGATGTGTGACAAGCACCTTATTAAAGCATGGGAAAATAAACATCTTTTAAACTATAGTACTAATAGGACCAGTACTAAATACAGAATCAACATGATCGAATAAAAGTTACACATGAGAAGAGGCCATCCAGTTTGCTCAATTGTGAAAATTTAAAACTGAGTGTAATAAAAAAGGCAGTATACTTTTCTTGCAACTTGTAACCTCAGAAATGCAATGTGTTCCACGCACTTGATAATTTGAAAATGTATTTGTAGACCACCAATCCACTGATTTCTTTTAAACTTGTGGCAAAATACATCAGTTAACCATTGTGTACATAGTTTCTTAATTATGTCAATGGATATTTTAACATTTAGATGTGGTTCCTAAACTCTACTAGTCTTATAGAATACACAAGGACCCAGTGATCCTTTCACAATTTCTTCTAAACATCAGTGGACCTGTGATTTTTTGACTCCAAAAAAAAGAAGTCCTTCAGATGGACCTCAAAAGCAATGATGAAGTGTAGTTGTTCTCCATAGGTACACGTTTAATACCCCAATCTGAGAAGTCCAGCGTTTTTGCTTTGATGACCTGGTTTGGTCTGATCCTGCACCATACAGGACAGGTAGTTATTCAGGACTAGAGACTTCCTCCACAACATAGGATTGAAGTTTATTTGGCACAACTCTTCTGAAAATAGGACTAGTTTCTTTCCAGTAATGCATGCCTCATAGAATGTGCTTCAAAAGATAACCAGAAGTGACTTATTCTCCTTTGATCTTATTAATGAACTGCTACAAAGCCCTGAGACAAGATCTACAACATAGAAAGATAGCAGTGTTGCACCGATTATTGCCTTGGTATACTGAGTTATGGCACTGAAGCGAGATCATAGAAACACCCATGAATGTGTTTTTTCTGGTGAGATCCTGAGAAGATACCTTGTGTTGAGGTTGGGCTCTACATTAAGACATGTCTTGCAACACGTCAAGCAAGCCTTTTGTCATGCTTCTGGCACAAAGGATTGCAGCTCAAGGCCCCGTTCCACTTTGCTACTCATCAGGCCAGTCTGTGATTGGCTTCTGACGATCCCAGTGCCATCCACAGAACGATCGTGGAATGTGTTTTCTTGGCTTCCCGATTTTGATCGGCTGCTAAAAGCACAAAGTCAGAAGAATGTGAGACGGAACCGGCCTATAGGAAGAGAATACATCAGGAGCTGTGAGAGACATTCTTTGCTCTGTGATGATAAGCTTATGTGAATTGGCTGTGAATGGGTTATGACTAAGGATTAACTGGTGCACAGAGATTGGTGCCTGTTTCAGTTGTATAGCATTTCTAATTATGCAAAAGGGAAAATATTCCTCAGATATCAGTTATCAGGCCATTTGTTACTGACTGAAAATTAAAACTGCACCAATTTTTAAATTGATTTTATTCATGCCCTTGTTATTGGTTTAACAAAAACCTTTGAAATTTCTATCGCCGACATGATATTTCAAAGTGAAACATCAGCTTTAAAAGCTAAGCCACACACTTACTGCAGTTCCTTTCACTGTTAACATGGCTCATGTTAAAGAAATACACAGGAATGATGTCTAAATGCAGCTTTTAAAGTAGGTGAACTGATAAAAAAAATATACACAAATATGAGCTGCATAAAGTACTGTAATTACTGGATTTGCTAATAAAGCACTCAAACTATTTTTGATTTGAGTAGAATCTTCTACATTATTATGCTGATTCCACATTATAACACTGACTCATTGCTGATCAAACAGTACAGCAAATGTAGAGACTTCTGCTAGGTGATTAACTGAACTTTTACTAGGAATAATTAGGAGTTCTAATTACTCCTAGTGAGATGCTGGGATGATTGTGACTGAGATCTGTTTATTTCATGTTAAGAGTCTTAAATTCTACACTTTTACCTTCTGTAATTTTAGCATCAGCAGAATCACCTTTGATCTATCACATCGTTCAAGTGAAACATGATTGGACATGGGAGGGGCAATCCAGGCTGCTGCTGGTCCTATCTACTTGGTCATTAAAGATCACATGGCAGTGTTCATAAAAGCTGGGGCATTAATTCTGATGTTCTAGCTAAGGTCTCCTCTGAACCTTTTACTTGCAGTTTCTCACTGCTTAGTATGCCCTGTGCTCTCTATCTTGAAGAGAACCGTTATTCTACAATGCATTACTGCAGTAATGTGGATGCGCATAGTTGCACTGTGATGACAGTCAAGCTTGCAAAGATCTCTAAGATGCCAGCTAGGAGCCATTGGTACAACCAAGTACTGTGTAATGGATATAGATCCACCAACCTGTAATACCTTGATGAGGTTATCAGTGCAAAGAGCTGTTGATTAGCAAGAGAAGCCAGAAGCCATCTCTCCTGTGCAGACATAAATACCGTGGCAGAAATGTATCCCAGCAAACTCACCTCTCTTCCCAGCCCTCTGCTTCGGCAATGGTGTCAGGTAACGGCTGATTGGCTGTCTCAGGCAGCAGCAGTGCAAGAGCTGCCCCCACCAGGGGTGTGGCACCGAAGATGAGCATGGGAACAGTCTGGTTGTAGCGACGCAGGAGACCAATCATTGGTGCCATGACACCTCCTAACCGGGCAAACATTGACGACATGCCAATGCCAGTCTGCCTGTGGACCAATACGCAGCACGTTACCTCACCGATCCTGGCATTCGCAACTTTGCAGTCAACTAGCTTTGTGAGGTACCCTGCCCTTCAGAGATAGGTTGATGGTTTTGTTCGCTGTGTGAAGACACGACTGTCGCAGAAAACTGCATTTGAGAACTTAAAATCGAATTCCTTGTAAATCACATGCACAGTTTGTTTATATTAAATTATAATTAATATTGTGTGTAGTTAAGTTGGAGGAATTAAACATATGGTATTGAAAATTATGGGAATGGGAAAACAGTATCGTATGCAAATTGTACATTAAATATGAATACAATGTGTAGAACTCTAATTTTTCCTAACACAATATTATACAGATATTTTACAGTGTCAAGTAACCCATTAGAGACACTGCCTCAGGGTCTTTATGAGTAGGTAGTCATTTAGTTGAAAAGTTCTGAAAATATGGTGAATACCATGAAGGCTGGGATGGAAATCTCAGATGACAAAAGTTAAGAAATCATAGTGTTAGCTGGTAAACGCTCCTGCAATCGACAGATTGTGGAAACGTTTGCTGGGGAGAGAAAACAAGACGAAAAGGAAGCAAATGTTTCTGTGCAATTCCCATAAAGACCGTTTTGTGCTATGATCTGACACACCTGAAGAGGCTGCAGAACATCTAACATGCAGTAGAACTCTGTCTGAATCCATTAGAGAGATACCAATTGTCAGCAATTTAAAATACTGTTTTAAAACCCCTATTATCTCACCAAACCCTTTCACATGTAATTTAGATTTATAATTACTTAAATTACACTTTAGCTTTACTCTCGCTAAGTCCTTTCACTGTGCTATGGTCAGCATTTTGCTTGTTGTACATGGTGTGTGCTGCTGTAGAGTATTTAAATTTAGGTGTCAGTTTAGAAACTAAAAATATTTTTAAGCCTTGAGGCACTATGGTCTGAGAGCCAATTAAATTGTGGCATTTCAATATGATAGTGTATTTGCTCAAATTTAATTTAATCTATTAATGTGTAATGTCCATTTCACCCATATTCTCCTGCATTGCAAAGATTATTTCTTCTGTCTATGCTTCTGTGTATGTATATAATTAACAGAACAGATATTTCACATAAAAATGGTGTCTGTGTTGAAAATCTGTCGATATATAGTCCTTCTCTTCTTTAACTTCCAAAATAAACCTATTATCTGTGAATTAATTCCAGAATTAACTACTGCCTGAAGTCTTCCTCATCTTGTAGTCTCTTTAGAAACTTATTTGCATTTCAAAAACATGCTTGGATAGCAATGGATAATTAACTTGACCTTGAGAAAACCCTGGATTGTAATCCTTAATTGTGCACTAAAAAAATCACACTAAAAATTTGGAAATGTAGATTCACTTGGTGAAAACTTTTAAACTATTCTCTCTGCAAATTCAATATTATGCAGATTAGATCTGAATTTAACAGTACCTAAAGTTGGAAAGAGAAAATGTTTGACATGCCATACCCGCTTACATTATATAAGCAGCATTCCCAGCTTTCCAAACTCGTTATGATATAATCCGCACATCGCCCTATAGATGGTGAATGCTGAAATGATGAATTTCTACTTGTAAATTGTTATATTACCACAAACAACACCAGCCTTCTTACTGATAGGAACTTTAAATAATAAATGAAGATGCCCTTTTACTTTACTTTTAAATGATAGTGGTAACAAATTGTTGTCGGGTTAAGCTCAACTGTGACAGGTTTGTGGTTATGTTGTGCTGGGCGAATCAAATGTTGTTTCAGGTGCTGTGTCTTAACTATTTGTTGTCATCTGAAGAGCATGCTAGGCGCATAACAGTGTTTTTTTTCAATTTGTGTAATCTATTACTTGGTTTAAGCCTTTGCTGTATCTGGAAATAAATGTGTGCCTTTATTGCATAAGAATCAGACAGGTATAATAAAGGGTTTTATCCGGTTAGTTTACTAACAGACAGCTCAGCTTCCTCTGCTTGTAACACTCGTCCTCTGTAAATTGTACTGATTCCCAAGTCCTCTGCTCACACACTGTGAATGGTCTAGCTGAAAGTTACCTTCAGTATTTATTGCATGAGTCTTGTCCGCTCTTACTTGGAGATACAGTACAGGATGACGATTCAGGCCTTCTTACTCTATTGAAGACCGTGCTCCACACAGTGAGCTACCGGTTCTTGTATGTAGCAGTGTCTATGGCTCTCACTGCCCAAATTGTTATTGTTAAATTATTTTACATGTGTGTCATTGTATGGAGCTATGAGTTTCTTGAAAAGTTTCTTGAAATGCCAGTGTGAGAGACCGTGTACAGTAACTCATCAGGATCTTACCGAACTACTGTAGGGAAGATCTCCGCTGAGTAAACATACACAATGGCGAAGGAGGCTGTTATACCAAACTTTCCCACCATAGCAAGACCAGTGAGCACATTGGGCATATCTATGTAGAGAAAAGGCATTATTAAAGGTAATCATCTATAACAGACATACTGTATACTGTACTTTAACATCCTACCTTGTATGATAATGTATTTATTCATACCACGTATAGGAATTACATCACAGTGCCTTGGCAGAATAACACCTTTATAAATGTTAGATTTCTCTGATATAATGTTAGAGATACAATCTGCATGTCTGTACTCCTGTTAATTGCATTTTCAAGTGCAGTGGATGACCCTGGGGTGAGATTTAACATGGAATTGATGAGTTTCTGAACAAAACATTGGTCTAGTCTGTGCCACATGAATGAGTGTGAATAGGTGGACAGTGTTTTCATGAGATTTCCATGTGTGTTGTATGATGTTTGTGTTGAAGCTCTGTTGAACCCAGGGCAGACAATTAATCGTTTTTCTCCTCTGCAGCCTTACAATTTTTCTGAAATATAAGGGGGTAAGATTGTTAAACAGTTCAATTAGAGTAGCAGGAGTTGTTTTTTTAGAATAGTGACACAACCAGCACCAGTTGAGTAGCCATCATCAAAAACCAAGATCCATTCATATCCTATATACTCAGGAATTATGGATAACGGACACTAACGCATTATTTTTAGGGCTGCCGCTTTTTTTCTGTGAAGGCACTGAATCGGTGGAAAATCATAAGCTTGATCACCTTAAAAGTCAAATGACAATTATTCTGAAAAAACTAGCTTGCAAAGAGATAGCAAAAGCTGTAAACACAAAGGATGAAAGGTTTGTGCAGCAGAGGCAAAGCATGATACAGCCTCTGCAAACAGGAAACAAATTCAATCTAACAATTATAAACACTGCAGCAGGCTCAGAAACAGATTTGTCTCCATTCCTGTATATTACAAGGCTATCTGTGAAATTTGTAATTGTGCAGTTCAATACGAGTACTGACTATAGAACAACATCAAACGAAAGTCATGTTCTAGTTCATTTTAAGATGAACATATTCGTGGGATTAACTTGCATTCTTTGGTAAAGCACGGCTTTTTCAGTAAGTGGACAGGTAAAAGTGTCTGGTTTTAACTTCACATTGAAGGACGTAAAGTATTAAAGTAAAATAAGCCATCGCATGCAAAACCATAAGATGGTAGAACAGATGGAAAAAAATAACCATTTAAGATGCAAGCATTTTTACTTTTCAACAGCCATTAGATTTATGCTCTTTAGCATTTAAAAAACATCTGCGTAAACTTGCTTCTTGTGCTTTCACACTGTCAAAATCAAAGACCCACTATCTTATTTACAGCCACATCTATAAACTGAAAGCAGGTTCAGTGTCTACTAAAGCGCCAAACCTCAGCCTCCTGTTGCTTGGAATGTGGGAATTTCTGTAAGTCTGCTCAGCATGGGTTGGATTGAATGCTTTCCCTGCTGTGCAGGTCAAATTTCAGCTTCTGCCAATGAAAAGGCCAAAATGATCCTACTCAAACAGACTGTTATGAAGGGTTCAATGCCTTTACTGTGCAGCAAACGGGTTATATTTTTCCTTTTAAAGCACTTGATTTCTCTGGAAAGGAAATGAACCAAAGTCAAGTATGAAAGGTTTCCTTGCAAAAAATATTATGCAGAAAAATGAGATGGCATAATGTGACGTACTGGTTCTATTTGAGTACCCTTCATGCTTTTAGTGTATCACCCTATCACCCCTATGGATATAAGTCTCAAATAAATTCGTTACAAGCAGCTAGATAAAGCTCGGAAGATGGAATGTGAGATGCTGGTGTTGAGTGGCTAAAAGACCTGGACTGGTGAAGGGCTCCTAGAGCTGACACATCATGATGGAACCACTGGTGGAAGAGAAGCAGCTTGGACAGATGTACCTAGAGGGACAGCGAGGGTGAGGAGGCAGGCCAGGCCACCAATGGCCAGGAAAGCACTCTGTGGAAGTCTGCGCGTCCAGGGTAAGAAGAGCAGCACCAGCGAGCGTGCGGGGATTTCCACCAAGCCGAATATGAACTGTGTCAAGTAGATGTCCACCCCCAGGTCTGAAATCCCCAGAGACAGGCCATAGTACACCAGAACATTCACAAACCTACAAAAACATCACCATCACACCACATTATCACAGGCTCCACTGGTGAGTACAGGGTTGACACAAGTCAAATCAGTGTTTAATTTGAAGGGAGGTGGTACCTGCAGAAAATGCACATAATGAACAGTTCACATCATATTTGAGACATGCAAGTGCTAAAGTTCTGCAAAACTGGACTGTCGCAAAAAAACAAGTCTACATCTGTATGGGTTCATGAGTGGCTCAGTAAGCAAAGGGGATAGCTCTAAACGCAGACTGAGCTCCTATGGTCCAGACATCACAAGCTAGTGCCTGGTTTAGTCATTAACTCACTGGAACTGGACTTCCCTAAACTGTGGAGCAACAGTAGGACTGAGGCTCATCAGTATATCACGTGATGAATAGTTCAATTTGGCTGGGTCAAAGGTGCATGTTTGTAATCCATCCTTCTCTGTGTGGCGATTATAATTGGGTGGATTTATAATCAAAATAATTCACATATACAAATTGGATGAAAATGCATTGATGCCACCAATGGAAAAAAATCACCCCCTTATCTCCAAAATAACTAATTATCTCGTAATTTTGAGATAGTGATGATTACTTCAGTATAATGAAGCCGTCATTTATACTGTACACCTTAGACTAACAGTTATGAAGAAACATGTTCTTTATTCTGTAGGAACCTTTTATAGACCTTTGTTGAACATTACCAAAATGTTTCTCATCGGATTATCAGAAATGTGGTCTTGTTTTCAGTATCTGTGTAATGAGTAACAATACAAGGGAGAAAGAAGTTAATGTTTCTTTAACAGACCATTGTCTAATGCAGAAATCTTTTAATCCCATAATTATATGTTCAGGCATCACCAGGCTGCTCTGATCTCTCACCACTACAAAGGAAAAAATACTAAAGACATGTTTTCACAAATATTGATCTGGATCATCTCTTAGTTATTAAGCTTACTACAGTATAGCTCACTGTATTCTGTTCCCTGACACACAAACAGTACCTGGTGACTTTGTACACTGCTGTACCTGGCACATTAAATCTATTTAACCAAAAGCCAATTAATCCCAGGAAGGAATGGCAGCACCTTACCACAGGTAGAACAAAATTAGAGACCTCTTCCTCATCTGGGGTGTGCGTAGCAGATCCATTGCAGTGTGGGGGCGTTCCTGACTTTCTGGGGTCTCACATTTTTCCGCCTGATTACAGAAACTGTTTTTAGTGCGTGTGTCTCAGGCATTGGTCCAAGCTCCAGATTAAATCAAACCTTCATCCCATTTGCCAACTGTAAATTCCACAAACGTGACTACAGTACTTCATAGAAGGTTGAGGCAGTTGGCCTCTGTCAAACAGAAAGCCACAATTAAAAAGTTTGGAATTATATTTTTTCAGGATAGTTGTTCTTTTCATTCAATGATCCCCAGCTGATGTTTATACAACACTTTAGAGATTCCTGTGATGAAAGCATCTATATAAATATACACCCATTATTGTCATGTCTGGGTTTAGGAGAAACAAGTTATCACCGCAAAAAATCTAGAAGCAGGCCCATTCCAACACAATTTGTGCTCTTAAATTAAAGACAGGAGTTACAACTTCATAAAAAAGAATGTTTGGTGCAAGGGCCTATTACCACACTTTTCTGTGCACTCAGATCAATCTTCTGGAGTCTTGGGAAAGTTTATCTAGATGTTGGTGAAATTTATTGGATCAAACATCATGGCAAGATAAAACCAGATAGATGTCTCACCTCCTAAGCCTTGTCATAGCCTCATGATTAGTTTTCATTTGATCTGAAATCAAGGATTAGTTCTCTGTTTTCTACCTTTCCACTTTCCAATCACCAGTTGTTAATCAACTGCACTTAAACCCCAGTATCCACACATGAGTAACAGGGAATTCTTGGACCTTGGCTTTAGAGCTGTTTGCCTTTTAAGATGCACTGCACTTTGGATCATTAGCATGTTTACAGCAAGCTCTCTGAAATTCTCACATAAGCTTTTCTGGAAAAGTAGAGAATGAGGGCACAGAGACACAGGCACACTCACAGTGGGGCCAATTCTCTCTGAAGCTAATTAACTTATAGTATGTTTTTGGACTCTGAGAGGAAACCTACACAACCAAGAGAAGAATTTACAACACCCCAGATCTGAACTTTAATCCAGGGCCGCAGTGTAATGCTAACCACTTCACCACTGTGAAGAACCTTATAAGAACAATCTGCTATTCAAATTCATTATTGTTTAAAAAATGAATATGAGTACATACAGTATTTGGTATGCACACTTATATGTCACTTTTCTGGACACTCCACTCAAAGTGCTTTACGGGTAATGGGGACTCCTCTCCACCACCACAAATCCCACAGATCCCACTTGGATGATGTGATGGCAGCTATAGTGCGCCAGAATGCTCACCACACATCAGCTCTCAGTGAGGAGGAGAACAGAGTGATGAAGCCAGGTCAGAGATGGGGATTATTAGGTGGACATGACTGGTAAAGGCCAGGGGGAAATTTGGCCAGGATACCCCTACTCTTTTTGAGAGACGTTCTGGCATTTTTAATAACCGAGAGTCAGGACCTCGGTTTTACATCTCATCCAAAGGACGGTGCCTTTTTACAGTATAGTGTCTCTGTCACTTTACTGGGGCATTGGGACCCACACAGACTGCAGGATGAGCACCCCCTGCTGGCCCCATTAAAAGCCCCCTTTTTCCCAGGAGGTGTCCCATCCGGGTACTGACAGGCTCACACCTGCTTAGCTTCAGTGGGTTCCCAGTCGTGAGTCGTGGAGTGATATGGCTGTTGGCATGTGAACAAAATCCCAGTAAGATCAGGATATATTGTATATCCTTATCTTTGATTTAATGTTCAAGGCTAGAGAAGAAGTAGAAAACTGAATGAACAGAAGCCTGAAAGGCAGCCAGTTGTTCACACAGCTGCCTTTCACTGGAGACATGCTCCAGTTTTTATAAGGACTGGAACTGCCTGCCTACACATGTGTTGCTTGTGTGAGACATTTATTGTGCACAGCTTAATTTAGAAATATCAGCACCAGTTCAAGGAGGGTTCTGTTCAGGCTGTTGAAGAATAAATAAAAGAGAAGGAACACAAACCATTGACTTAATTAGATACCCCGCTTGCAGAAATTGAAGTTGGAGGTGATAAACTTAACAGGCCCCACAATGACATCACCAATTGGACTATACTTAAAACACACAAGGTCTTTTCTGAGTATTAGTACTGCACAAGACACACCAACTTTCTTTATAGCAGCCATTTGGCTGTGCACTGTATCTTGTAAGATTAGATCGGTCAGAATAATTATAACACATACTCTAGAGCTGGGTCTCCAACTCTGATCCTGTTATCCAGTTATTTTTAACAGGTCATCCTAAATCACCCATTATTTAAAGATTGAGGCAATTGATTAATTAAGAAAGTTATTGTTTTAATGAAGGGAATGCTGGTCTTTGAGAGCAAAAGGAGTTTCTGATTTTTGGTCTAAACGATCTCTTATTGAACACATTACTTGTTTACCTGATCATAGTTAAATTGCATAGTTGTTAATCCAGTACTGATTTAAAGGCTGGCTATAAACACTGTGGACAGGGGTTTTCCAGGAACATCTGTTAGAGACCCCTGCTCTAGAGTGTGCAATACTTTGGCTGAATAGCCTTCTTGTCTCTGCAGGAGCCCTAGGCTGTGTGTACAGTACCTCAGCTCCAGGAGGGAGTGCCCGACCATTGATGGACGCAGCTCTTCTCAGGAGATCAAAAGCTTCTGCTCGGCGGTTGTTGGCCAGGAGCCAACGGGCTGATTTGGGCAGAACCCTGAAGAAACCAGGAATATCTTGCCATGTCTAGGATAGTCCAAACATTATTCTTCCACAACAAGGTAAATGCAATATAGAAACCATAAGAATGACCCCAGTTCAACAATGATATACTGTAACTAAGCAAATGTGTTCAAGCTGGTACAGTATGCACTAAGCTCAGGGTAACACTGGTACCACAGTTTATTTCAGATAATCACCCTACCGTGTCTAGTGGTGCAACATGTTCCAGTAAGTGATCCCTTCAAACTGTCACACAACTAGAAATTCTTCATAAAGCTTCATGGAGTACTTTTAGAAGAGCATTACGACTCACAATAGTGTGAATTTAAATTCCAAAGGATCCCAAAACGCTTCCCAAATAAGCTCACATCAACTGTCACTGAAATTGCATTGTTTTTCTCCTTAAAAGTAAGGAAATCCTTGGCCAAATTAGACTTGGAAATTCATATAGCCTGAGCTGGAGTTTCAACTCTATACCAGGATCAGCAGTCATGTTCTCTTGATATGTCCTGTGAATATGTAAATCCACCATACATGGTATTGATAAACACATTGATTCACCATCTCTCAATAGATTGGTATACCAGATGTAGAAAATGAACAGGAAGCCAGGCGCTGAGATGGCCAGCTGCAGTTTGCGCCAGTCCCTTATTAAGTAGGCGACCCCTGCCAAGAGCATGTAGCCAAATCCAAAGAAATAATCAGTGATGATCCCGGCCAACATACGCCTCTGAGTGCAAGTCCATTCAGTACCTGTAGAGAAAGGGGGAGTTAATATCACAGTATATAGGTTATTATATGATAAGCTGAAGCCGTCGTTGTCAAATAATGTAATTCAAGATGTTCCAAAGAGGAGCCATATTGATGAAATCTTTCACATCGAGCCCCATCTGAGAACATTCCTGGGTTAAAACAGAATGGAAAATATCTGCTTTCAGAAAAATCAGTAAGAGATTTCATAAGAGAGTACTATTACGTCACTACCGAGAAAAGGCAGCAGGTGAAGAATTCCACGGGACTATAGGTTACTCAGCCTGTGGCTATTCCAATCCACTCCACTGCAGAACTTTGATGCAACCAGCTCTTTAATGCTGCTATTCATCCAGCTAATTATCAATTAAATAATTAAGAAGCTGGTTGGGGGCATCAATAGCATTAATAGGAGTTTTTAATTGTGAATGTCTGACCTAGAAGTCTTCCATATTTCTAGATGGTGGAAGAGAACCACAATAGGAGTTAGGTTGTCTACATCTTTCAATACAGGTGTATTTTCATAGTTTACAGGTTATTTTCAAAAGGTGATTTATGCCATTCATGTGAACATCAACTCGTCCATACAAAACTGTTTCTTACATAAATAAGGAAACAACATTGCATTGCCACCTAGACCATGTGACTGGAGAACAACTATCTTGTAGAAGTTAAAATGCAATAACAACTGTAGATACATCATGATTAAACACATTTGAGATTTCTGCCAGGAGATCTCTGAGAAAAGGACATGTTGTGTTCTACAGAGTATTTCTGTTTGCTTAAAAAGAGCTTATATTGTGTTTTGTCATGTGTTTCTGTTTTGAATCCCTGTGAGGATTTAACAATGGGCCAGCTTGGTGAGTCACAAATCGCCAGGGCGTCTCCTGGTTGTCAGGGAAACTGTTGCTTAGGTGAGTGGAATTTCAGCTCTCTCACTGAAGGAAAATAATGAGAGATATATCACCCGATGCTTATTTGGGTCCTCTAAGAGCTGAGATATGGACTCGAGAGATCTGTGAAACACTGGTTTGATATTGGTACTATACAGAATATTATAAACTGAGCACTGTTTGAACTCTCAGCTTGGACATGTGGTTAAAAATGCAGTAAAGTGTATTGGGGTCAGTAATAGTAAATCTTCATAAGTACTGTAAAGTATGTTCTGCAATCACAGATTTTGAGAGTGAGATTATTCTTATCACTTTGATAAGATTTGCTTACCTCCTGGATTTCATTTTACAGCTTACAAACTGTTTCTTTAATATTTCAAAACTTCCTTTGTTTAATGCTTTCTTTTTGGTCTAATATTATATTATTATAATATCATATTATAAATGAAGAATTGTTTTAAAATGCCTAAGGAAAAAGTCAAATACAAATTTATTAGGAAACTTTGAACTTTGTGTGCACGCACACAGGAAGCTGATGAAGTTTCCTTTGGCTTTTAGGAAAATTGGCCCTGGTATGAAAGTGTTTGTGTCTGTGTATGTCCTATGATTATCTGGTGTCCTGTTCAGGGCACAAATCTGCCTTGTGCCTGTTGCTTGCCAGAATAAACTCCAGCTCTCCCAAAACTCTGTACTGGATAAAGGAATTAGAAAATGGATGGATGGATGTATACCAATAAATAATATTCTATATATCCATCTCTGGAAGGATTAGGCTCATGTACAGCCTGGATGTATAGGAGGCCATAAGTCAAACATAAAGACTTTATTTTGGGGTAATATACTCAAATAACACACATAGAACATCCAGTTCACACATGCGATCATCTAGTCTTTCTCTAGCCTACTAACCTACTAGCCTCCTGTCTAGTCTCCACTAATCATCCAACTGTCCTCATAATTGAAGACGAGCTCTGATAGAGTAGGCTGAATGTGAACCCTAGTTGTAGTGGTGTACTGGATATAATGCAAGGTCACTCACCTAGGACAAAAGCATTCATGATGACCCCAGATATAGTTGTCCCCACAATGAACCGCAGCAAGATGTAGAGGTAAAAATTAGGTGCAAAGGCTGTGGTCACTCCAAATATGGCTTGAAGGGCCAGTGAGAGAAGAATCACAAACCTCCGGCCATATCTGCCACAAGGAGTGGGACAGAGAGACAGAATGAGATGGTAGAAGAGTGCACAATTCCAAACCTTTGAGGAATGCAAGATTATCAGATTATCAGGTATTAAATCCAGTACATTTGCTATTTAACATGATGCTTAACTGGATCACTTGACTCAGGTCTTCACCAGTTGATATTTTACAAACGTAAATTGTAAAATACGTTTGTAAAATACGCTCACCTGCACTGATCTGTTCATGGACTGTCCATCTATTAAAGCAAATTGTTGGATAATTGGTCTGGCACTTTCCCAATGTAAATCTTGGGTAAATACAACCTGCAAATACAGCCAGGTAGGTGTATAGACAGGGACACAGAAACATTTTATCTTCAGGATCGATGATTTAAAACATAAAAAGGGCTTCATAGTGAGAAATTGCTTTTTCAAAGTTTCTACATTTACTAATACTTGGTCAGGTCAATAAGCTTCCATGGTTGTGATCTGCAGGGTAATTAAAAGCACTTCCAGTGCTGTCCTCAGTACAATGAGCTCCCAATGTGTTTGAATTACATTTCAATATATCAAAATGTAAGTTCTCAAGTTGGTTGAGCCACAATTATTCAATGGAAAAAAAAATATTTGACTACTTCTGACACACTGTGAGTACCAATAAACAAACTATCATAGTTTTTTTTCTACTCAGGTAGAGTGACTTTTACTTTTCTGCCATTATGTTTAATGAAAAGCGAATAATGCTTCTGTATATACTGCACACAGAACACTAGTACTGTACCTGTCAGCCATGGCTCCAAAGAGGATTGCTCCCACCAGTAATCCCAGCATGTAGATGGAGGAGCCAATGCTGTTGAGACTGGCTCTGTCGCACACCAGGTCCCACTGTTAGAGACACAGGACAGTGTCATATGCAGAGTGCTACCCTATTCTACTTTACAACCCCAATACTCAAGCAGGAAGCTACAGTCCTAGTAGCCACTGGGCCTTCTAATCAGTTGATTAGACCAAGCGGTTGCTTAATCAGCAGGTGCTAATGCTGTCTACATACAATACCTGTACCTGCTCACTGATGATTTAACCTGATCACTGATCTACAAGGCCTTTGGGACAATGGGTTACCAAGATTGCAGATCCCTGCTGTAAAACATTGAAAGAAACATTTAAAACAAATATATTTAATCACATTTCCTCCACATTCTGTTATGTGCTGTGTTACGTGCATTCTGTATGAAGGAGTCAAGAACCAGGCAGGAAAATCAGGCTTCTCAGGCCAAGAATGATGGGATCTTCAGATCTGTGCTCCATTTCTTCTCTTGAGACCCCAGCTGAAGTACGTATTTGCTCATTTAAAGCAAATTAAAGTTTGTTTCCAAGTCTTAAACACCAGATAGATTTACAGGGTGATTTGAGTTGAGAATCACATTCAGAGAAAGAGAAGTGTTTGCTGGGATGCTTGGATGAATGCTAGCCTGAGAGCACCAGCTGCAAGAAAGATGGTGGGGGAAAATGCAGGAAGGGAGGTAGCTGTGCAGCCTGATGGTGGGGAAAGGGGCTCTTGAGATAGATCTGCCATACTGAGCAATAAATAGAGGTGATTTAATATGTGGCACAGCCCTGAGGCAGTCATTCTACAGCCAGGTGTACATCACACCTCTAACAAACCACACAAGTCAAACAAAGAACAAACCAACACTCTTTTGTGCCTTTATCACTAGCACATGTACAATGTGTACCCCTGTTTTGAGCTGCATCTGTTAAGAGCATGTTACTCCCTGCAATATCTCAAGTTGCTTCTGCAGAGGTAGGCAATAACCAACACTGCAGGACAGAACAGATGAGAAAGTCCTTGAATACAGTGACATGCAGCTTATCCAAGGCTAACTACACTCTAAACTTGTCACTTTAATCTTTTTTCCCATTATATAATCATTTGATCTCAAAGATGAGAATCTAGTATTTCCACACACAGTATCATGTATTACTTTGCCAAACTGCCCAGGGGTTTTGAAGGGGCCAGACGGTGTTGTCTGTTTAAGTGCCTGGGAGGGGTGGGAGCAGTATCGGAGGACAAAGTGTGAAATGGGAGCTAAAAGCCCATGAAGAACTCCATTGTTCCCCCTCAGAATGTGAGATGCTTTTCCATTCACCAATAAAAGAACAAACTCTCATAGTCATGATAGAGGAAGCTGTTAAAGTCTGTTTAAAGCAGCCTCTTCTCTCAATTTACAGCACAAAGAAGCACTTATTCAGTTCCTCTTGGTAACTGTCTGCATGGTTACTCACAAGGCCAAGGGTAACAAATAGGGTTTAAAAATAGTCTTTTCTACCAGGTTTTTGGCCTGTTTTAGAAGTTAGATTAGTAAATACTGAAAGACAAAATAGTTTAAAGACTTCACTTTCTTTTTGTCATTTTCTCTATAATTACTTGGAAAAAGAAAACAACTTAGTTTTATGTGCACTGTGCTTTCTTTAATTTTTGCTCCCCGCTGACTCTGTAAAGATAGTTATTGAATGTTATAGAATTAAAACTGACAACCACCCTGAGAGGTCAGCGGTAAAGTACTGTCTTCGGGAGCCTGTTTCCCTGTTTCAGTTAGAAACAACACACTCAACCTTTGGAAAAAAGCCAACTTTGATGGAACAATTTGTAACCTGTAAATGAGGCCAACGGAAGGAGAAACTGTGTTATAGGAAGTGATGTCCTTCACATGAAGGACCTGATCACCTGGTCATTAAATATCCCATGGCACACTTTAAAAGAGTAAGGGTATATCGTTGATATACTCCAGGTTTGTTCAGTCTGTCTTAACTTTCCTAATGTTCTTCCCTTATTTAATGGGTGAAACATTTTTTCCTGCCTCCTCAGCTGTGAAGTGGGGCTGCAGTGATGCTGTTATATTTGAGTCGTGGCCAGTCACCAGCAGGGTGTGATTATTTGGTGTTGGAGAAGGCAACAGATGCAATAGTGGTGACACTCCAATGTCAGTGAAGCCTGCTTTGATAAAATGGACTTCTCTTCTTTGGGTTGTGCTGAGATACTCAGGATAGGAATGAATGGCACACAGCAGTAAGCAAAAAAAAAAGATCTAAGAAAACAAGGTTTCAGTTTTGAGTAGCTGATAATATTCAGGCTGGTTACAGCAACCAAATCGGGTGTAAGGTGGTGCAATGGTTAAGATTGCGGCCTTGCAGTGCTGGGGCTCTGGGTTCAATTACTGGGGTACTGTCTTTGTGGAGTGTTCATGTGGGTTTCCTCCCACAGTCCAAAGACATACTGGTGGGTTAATTGGCTTCTTGGAAAATTGCCCCCTGGTGTGAGAGTGTCTGGTCTGTGTGTGCCCTGCGAGAGACTAGTGTTTCTCCCGTTACTTAGCAGGAAAGGCTCCAGCTCCCCTCCAACCCTGAATTAGATGGTGGTTAGAAAATGGATGGATGGATGATTCTGCCACCCAAGAAGCAACTCAACAATGCTACTGTATATACATTGCTAGAAATGTACTGCAGGAGTTTCATTTATGACATGACTATTGGGTTTTTGAAATATGATTATTGTGAAATGTACTGTAAAAAAGTTAATACAAGAGCAGGAAAAATGTGAAAGCAGTAACAATTAAAGTATTAAAAATAGAAAGTAGAGTTAATAATAATAGTAGAGTTAATCATATTTAGTAATACAGTAAATTACCTAATATGAATCTTCGGTGTCTTGATACTGAAGTCCCTAAGTAAACTATATGCACAACACTTGCTAGCTATTCAGTAGGCGTAAGTAAATTTAATAACTGTCAATTCATACTGTAAAATGTCTGAGGGTTAGAGAATTCTTGGTACAAACTATGAACCAGATCCTTATTGGAGTTTTTTTCATGTCATACGACGTTGGTATCATTGGAATTTAACTCCAAATCTGTCCAGGTTTTTCATATGCGCACACACACAGCCAATGTTTTTAACCATACATTAAGTGATAGTAAAATAAAAAACGATGAAAAGAGCACCCTCTAAAACAGAGACTGGCAGAAAAGAATAATACCTTTTTTGTATTAGTGAGAAAATCTTAGTGGCATGTATTCCAGGACAGCTCAGCTCCAAAAACACAACCTAGTGAAAAATACTCATTTGTATCCTCAAGATCCAACTGCCTTAGCCCCAGTTTTCAAGTTACATACTAAAAAACGCAGTAGTAGTGACACAGAAAGCTATTCACATTTGTATTACAGTAGATCCACTGTTTTGCAGCAACTCGATATTAAAATGACCAGTATACATGACCTTCCAGCTAGGGCATAGTTGATTGTGTGAAGGCTTTATCTCTTTTAAACTTTTGCATAGTTACAGTAAATGTAGATAGGTGTACGTAGGGTGTAACTCATTAACTTTGGTCTGTGACCAGAAGTGTCGAAAAACTATTATAAAAAGTTCTACAGTAATAAAAGTCAAGTAAAAGCTAACTGCATAGAACCCAGGTGCAAAATTCATTCTTCCTAAATCTGAAAAAAAAAGGCTCTACTTAAAAAGAACAAGAACAAAAACTCATCCACCCAGAGTTAGCCTCAACCACATGGTAAGGAGGCTCCTTCCAGACACAGTTCCCATGACTCTAACCCGTATGTTTTTTAAGCCGTGGGAACACTTATTGAAATACCTGCATGCTCTCAAACTTGGTCCCTAGCAAAATACACCTTCCTTTGAATATTGTATCCTACAAATACTGCTAAATGATTGTGTAGTTTGTTTCAGGACAAAAGGGTTTGTTGTGTAATTATTGAGTGATTATTTCAATATTTTCTGATAGCAAGAGACCGTGCCACATACTTAGTGTTTTGAATTGATAATTGTTACTGCAAGTTATGTACTCGGAGACACTGTAAGCTGACTGACTGCACAAACTCCTTGTATAACGTCCTTGCAAATGGAAGAGCTTTTTCGCTGTTTTCGGTAGACGACTGCCATCTTTGAGTTTGTATTTAAGGTTTCGGAATAGCAAGATTCAGCACTTTCATTGCAAATGTTCAAATTGAAACAGTTCTAGAAGTGTACGTCCTATGTTCATTCAATGCTTGATTTTCGTTTGTGTACAAGATTCCTAGTTTCAGTTCCGATCCCAGAGCAGTCTTTGGACCATTGGAGTTCTCGCAGAAATAGGAAAACATGTGGAATCGCGTCTACGCGGCTGCAACCTTGATCTCCTTAACATTTTTTCCCCCTTGGAATGTTTTGAATTGAGCCAGACGTTACTGTCCAAAGCAACGTCTATCATGGTAACCGTCAATAAGACTGAGGTATGTGCAACTTTCTCATGTTCTGCCAAAGCAATTAAAGGGCACAGTATTCTGAATACATGTGTGAAAAGTTTTCATCTCAATCCCGAGAAGAAAAAGCCCCCTCTTAACAGTGAGCGCATAGTAAGTAATTATTCATAAAATCTCTTTCATGAAAACATTTTATTCAGAAAATTTGGTCAAAAGCCTGGCAGCAGAAAAAGAATGATAAATAAAAACCTGTGAATTGGAAAAAAAAAACTTTAGTCATGTTGTATTACAGTACGTAGATTATCACAAGTGTTTGAAATTAGTAAAGCTGGCATTTCGAAAAGGGAAAAAATCGTTCAATAACTGTTTTTTTTGTTAATGGAAACACACTGAATCAATTTGAAACGTCATTGTCGAAATAATTTACTGTATCTAGTACTGGACACAAAAACTTAATATGACTGTTTTTTTTTTTTAGCTAATCCTCTCATCCAAAGGGATTTACTGTACATCTGTAACCATGTGTATCGCCGGTTATTTTACTGGAGCAATTCAGGTGACGAAACTTGGATGAAAGGTATAACATTAGTGTCTCAACTGGAATTTGAACCTGCAATGTTAAAATTACAAGTCCAGAAAGTTACAATTGTGGATTTAATTAATATTCCATAAACCTTACGAGTTGCACCTTTTGTAGCGAAACCAAAGCACTGTTAGAAACTCTGAATTCACCTTTAGAATGCTGTGCACCATAAAAACAGAATGCAATTATCATCATCATTATCCACCCAGCGTCAGACAGCCATTTACTCTCGGTGAGAGGGGCAACAGCACGATAACCTATTCGTATGCGTTACGAAGGGTGCAGGTTGGGACTATACCCAAGGACGAGATTCCAGTCCGCAGAGCGCATACCATCAGAGCATGTCTTTGGAAAGTGGAAAAACACTGGATCACCGCTCCCACACATAAAGAAATTCAAACTAAGGACTGACCGCCAAGTGGGTCTGTTGTTGTTATGTTTTAGTTTATAGTTTAAATATTGTAATTGTTGTATGTATTAAAAAAGTATTAAGCATTAAGGATTAAGCGCTTTGAGTAATTATTATAGGTAGAAAAAGGAGCGTTGTCATGGAGAAATGAACTTTCCTAAAAACACTTCTCTGTCTCCGTTTCCATGGCACCAGTTAGCCTGCCTTTTTGACTTCGCCTACATTAGCACAAAAAAAACCTACCTCTGTGACAGTGGTACTCTCGAAAATGTATTTGCTGTAGACCCAGCCCGACTCGCATGGTCCCGCAGTCTCGTTTTCCCATTTTTCCGCCAGCCCACCCTGGCGCAGGATGCTCTCCCTCTCTGCAGCCACAGAGGGAACGGAGCAGGACGTCCCCCGGCCAAGCTCGGGGACGCTGAGGTTCACGGTGGAGTCCCGGGTGAGGTTCCCCGGTGTCTGGGCGGTGTGTGCCCAGGCAACCCGGCAGTGGTGAGGCGGGGTCGCCCCGGTGAAAACGCTCACCAACATGTGAAACGCAAGAAAAATCTGTGGAAGGCAAATCCAAACGTACAGAATCTTCTGGTATTTCCCAAACCCGCCGATCGCGGACAGCAGCTGATCGAAAGTCATTTTTAAATATATGAATAGATAAAGGTTCACAAAAAAGGTCACTTAACTCTGTAAAGCAAACCTCCTGTGATGCGTGCCTTTGCCGTCTTGGATTTTATTAATGTGAAATTATTCATGTAAAATTTTGTGCTGCGCACCAGCAGGTCTTGCGATTTATTCCAGAGGAAGCTGTCAATCCGCTACGAGTTTAACTTGGAGAGAGCAGACCCTACTCAAAACCTGATATAATTTAATTACATTCCAGACATTTGTAATTTGTCTAACTGCTTCATGCATTGGTATCATCCCTCAAATTAAGGTTCAACAGAATAATACAATACTTGTATGTTAAATTTCAATTTGCTTAATAACCTATTTATTTTTGTAAAAAATATATTAGGGCTAGAATACGCCAGTCACTGGTGGCTCTTTAAAACTGTCTGCCCTCTTAATACTCTGCATTTTAAATTGACATTATATTCTTTGGTCTCCAGGATTTCGCTGCCGGTACACTACTTTGTGCCTATGTTCCCATTATATCTTGATTTCTTGAATCCTGATTCCATGTCTCCCGCTCAATCAATGAGCTACTTCTCAATACCGTAATACTGACTGCCACCGCTTGAATTACAAGAATTACAAAACAGAAATGCGAAGAAAACAGAAATGGATTCCCGAGTGTACGGAATGGACTGCTTGTTGGGTATCTGCCAAACAGCTGCGCGGCTGGAGATGAACATTTTGTAACCAGCCGGCGGCTAAAAATATTCATTGATCTAACAGTCACTGAATTTTTTGTAGGTGCTTGTGTTGGTGTGTAACGAGAATGGGTTTGACTGCGGATGATGGCGGAGTTATACGACACATTGATAGGTGCACCTACAGTAAGTACTGTAGATGATGATGTATAGATTTACTTTGTACTAGTAACCCCTCAGATTCCTACAGAAATGGGTAAAAATGACTCGATACCCATGAAAAGCCTGAAAAAGTCAAGTCGTTGGCATTTCTGCAACCCGTGATGCCGTCTTTTGTTCACATTCGCAACATTAAATCGCATTTCAGTAGAAAAACCTTCCTATGTTTTAGGAAAGACTTACTTTTAAGACACAAACAGGCCGCAAATTCAATTCGAACAGTCTGAGATATTTGCCAGCTCATCCATTCCAGATTTGTCCGAAAAATTCAAAGACCGCCCTTGGCAGTAGACCGTCATCAGTTGAGCTGAGGTGCTAAGTGACCTTGAAAGCATTTTCTTCTTTAACACAGCGCTTGATTGTAAAGCTTCCAAGTTAAAATCGTTTGTAGCCCTCTAACCCCCGACAACTCGCCTATCCTTAGTGCACAGTTAACAGTCCACACACATATGTTTTTGCTCAGTTAAAGAGCGATTCCATTTATTAAAGCACAAAAATGGACCATTATCCGCTTACACGTACCACATACTGTATATGTACACGGACAATCGCATATGGTAAACCTCAAGCAACGTCTAGTAATCGATGTAGACTTAATTTCTCCGTTATCAGCGGGTAGGTTTATTTCACTGTATAGAACAGTGGCCTTCAAGATCTCACGGGCCATTGAACATTTACGGAGGTTACTGAAAACAGGTTCTAGTAAAGCAGCTTAGTCGTTGTGAAGACTTGTCCAGCGGCGTCAGTACAACACATTTCTGTATTTTTCAGTGCAGAGATCTTTAAAAAAGCTAAACAGTTATCTCCAGACGGTTAGATAGCAAAAAAGCATTTGATGACAGTAGTAGGCTGTTCGAATATTAACTTCCTCGAACAGGAACTTCAGTTTTTATAAGCTTGGAATCGCCAAGCTTTTTTTTGACATTTTGAATGATAAAAGACGCTTTTGATCGCCTTTTTTGACAAAACTTGATCAAAGGTATCTTTTATCATTTTCATTTTTTAATTATTTAGTTTTACTCTTGATTTTATCCAGGCGGTTTACTCTTGTTTTTCAATTTTCATTTGCCTTCTGTTAGTTTATTACTCACGCACTATTAAATAGCACTCCGTTTTCCTTAAGGAATCGTAAAAACTAATAGTAAACGTCTGAGAAAATAAAATTCTGAGGAAAATGATGTGGTTAGTCTATGTATACTATAAGATGCTACACCTTCTCTAAATAAAACACTTGATACAGGAAAATTAACATTAAATACTATGTTTAAAACATTTAAGTTACTCTACAGATGTTTACAGACTGGGGGAAAAAGGAAACAACAGAAAACGTTCAAAGACACGATATGTAACAGATGTCTATAATAGTTCAGGTGGGTAGCTGCGTCAGCATGCGTAGGCTGCAAAGGAACAAGTAATGGGTTTATTCCATGCTGAAAAAAAGAAGTAAAAAAACACAACGTTTCAGCTGTGAAGCCTTCTTCAGCTCACACCTTCAGCTCAAATCAGTCCATCAGTCCATCTGTCCTTTAAAGTACTGTTTTGTACTCAAGTACTTCAGATTTACTTGACTGAGTCTAGCAGCTAAATCCTCTATCGTATACTATCGCTACAGCCATGTGGAAGAGTAAGACCCTTGTTATTTTGGCATATTAGCACCAATGTGGTAGGGAGTGGTCACTTTCTCTCACTGACATTGGAATGTGTGGAATTGTACACGGAGCCTGTCCTGTCTGCTCCTCTCCCTCAGTAACTCCACCCCTTCTGGCTGCCAATTATCCAATCAGCCTAATGTTTGTCCCATTGTAAGCTTCTTTTCCCCATTAACAGGTGACTTTCTCACAAAGGCCCTGCTTCACAGAGCTGTTCCCTGCTTCCTGTACAGCGTTCTTATTCCCAAATTGTTTTTAATCACTATTTGAGTTATTACAGACTGTTAGCTCACTTTTTTATTCTTTGAGCTGGTGATGTTGATCACGTTCAGTTTTTTGATGAGGTATTTTTATTCGGCACTGCTGTATTTTGTTGGAAAAGGACGTTTTAAGCAAAGGAAAAGGAAAATAAAAAAAATAAAAATAAAAGGAATCTTTCCCTTGTATTGCTCTGACAATGTACAAATAAATTTGAGATCACTTTATTTCAAATTTCAGTAGATTAGAACGTACGATTAAAATTTAACAGTTAAAAACCAGTCTAGTCCACATCAAATTGTAATATTTAGGTCAATAGTTCCCTTTTATTTAGATTCTTATAAAATATTTTAACATTGCAAATGTGAAGCACAATTACAGTGTACATGCTAATATACTGACACGCAAGTTATCAAGACTTTACTTGTACTTGTTCACTGATATTCATTTATGGACACTGAAATCATCTGCTTTTCCTCCAGCTGTCTATTCATCAAGAATTGTAAACCATGTTTAATTTCTTATTTCCTCTGACGCGAATATAAGAGGCCTGTGGAGCAGGAATGACTGCCACTACTCTAGCTAGTATTACGTTCTCAAGAAGGAGCATTTAAATATGTCTGTTTCACTTTAAATGGCTGCAATGGTTTATATTGAAACTATCCTTTAACAGCACAGGCCTGTAAAATAGGTTACGATTCCACTCAGATTTACTGATACATTCCTCTCCAGGTCCCAACGTTCTCCCAACTTAGCCTTAATTAGGGCTTTCTGAGTTTTTCCAAATATGGGATGGTCAGAGATGTTAATGTACAGTATAAAATATGGATTCATTAATTTAATAAAATAACTATTTCAAATGAAGTCACCACTAAAAAGTCTAATCACATTTGTTCTGTTTTGAATTTAGAGTTTAATGTATGAAATGTAGACTTATGAATTCCATAAAATATCTTGATACTTTAACATATATCAAATCAGGTTACCATTAAAAAGTCTAATTAACCACATTTGTTCTTATGTTTTTGTTCTGGGACTCTACTCACTGTTTAAAGCTAGTTATGAACCATGTGAGATCCCACATCATCGGTAGCTGTGTAAATCTCAAGGTGTAAACTCTGAAATCCCATTTCAGTGAGACAAGACTGAGACACAACAGGCTGCTGTGGCCTCAGTGTGGAAGAGGAGGCCGACACAGACTGAAAGAAAGCCTTGACCATCAGTGGCTGACAGCACAGAGCTTGTAGGAATGTGGGGATGCAGTAATACCGGGGACTGGTTCCATATTCAGGTCCTCAGGCCGGATACCAGGGGGCAGATGGAAGGTGAACTTCTGGAGGAGGGCAGTGAAGAACAGGAAGAGCTCCATCTTGGCCAGAGTCTCGCCCAGACAAACCCTCCGACCTGCAGGGCACACCACAAAGCAGATTGATCTAGAAATGGGATCTATACACAGGTATATCACCAGGACCTGGAGATGGACACCACACTGTCATGTAACTTGGTACTCGGACATAAAGAAAACACCTGCAGAAAGAATTTAGACTGGTTTGTCAATGTTCTCATCGAGACAGTGTGGACAGATAACAATCAAAGGAACTTGTTAGTGTGAATGACCTCATCTAATTTGAAATATTTACAAATCTTTAAATAAGCATTACCAAAATCTAAAACACCATATTTTTCCAATTATGTACAATTATGTACATATTTCTGGTGTGAATACAGAAATATAGATTAACATTCTACAAATGCTTTGTCTTAGTTGTACAATCTGGGAAGCTTAATCTAATAAGACTGGGATCTTTACAGTGAGAAGCAAATGTTGATACATTAATTTGGAAACACGAAGACCTGCTGACTGTGATTTAATTGCTTGAAACCTGCTGAATGCGTAACTTAAAAGTATAAGTTTGAGAAATCTGCAAATGTTTTTTTAGGTTTATTTCTATGTCCTTTAGCAAAAATCTAGCAAAAATACAATCAACTGCAATGTTTTGACAATTTAATTGGTTGTTTCATGTATAATTAACTAAATTATATAATTAAGGAGTTGATTATAGAAACGAACTGGAGCAGATTGTAAGCACTGGTACTTGGGTGTCCATGCTCTTAGAAAAACAAACTAGGAGGAGTGCATCCAACAGAGCACAGCATTCTGGCCTTCAGACTCGTACAAGAGCAAAGATCAGGCTTGTATGCTTTCTGTACATTGGAGTGATGAGCAGCCTCCCAGGAGTTCTGGGAGGAAAATGAACCAGGTTAATGAAATGAAATAAGAAAATGATCAGGCTACAAATGTGACACAGACCTGCTGAAAAGGGCATGAAGGCTTCTTTCCTAATGAAATTTCCCTGAGCATCCAGGAAGTGGCCAGGGTTGAACTCAAAGGGCGTGTCCCACTGCGTCTTGTCGAACAGCACAGAAGTGAGCAGCGGAATGACAGGGGTGCCCTGAGGAAGACAGACAGCAGGTTAATGTGTAAAGTATTAGATGATGTGTGTTCTACACAAAACCTCTTTGATTCAGTTGCCTTTTCTGGTGTCATCAGATAGTCGTTATCAAATCTGAAAAAAGGTTTATCTAAGCTTTAAAAGCTGATGAAGAGGACAGATATCAATATTGACAATTAGCATCTCGCTTTCCCAGATTAGTTAAGAATTTCTTAGCCTAATGTCCACTACAGACCCATATGTGGCAGGTATAAGGTGACTGATCGTTCATAGTGTTGATGGCTGTGAGATACACTAGGCCCAGTTTATTTTTTTCCACTTAGATGGAGTATCAAGAGTAACAGTCCTCTTATTCTTCTAAGCTTTCATAAAATTTTTAGTATTGATTTTTTGTTATTTCTGAAGTATGATCTTTCTATCTTTGAGTTTCTGATGAGGGTTTACCTCATTTCCCACTGTGACCCTGTGAGGTCTGTCTCTGGGTGGGAGTAAGAGTGAGGGGTGTGACAGAGAGGTTCACCTTTGGGATCTTGTAGCCCCTGAAGGTGGTGTCCACTGTGGTCTCGTGCAGCAAGTTCATAGGCACCACATTTCCGAACCTCTGGACTTCATGTAACACTGCGTCAGTGTAGGGCATGCTCTTCCGGTCTTCAGACCTTGGAGGGCGCTCTCTCCCAATCACTCTCTCAATCTCTGCTTTCACTTTCTCTGCAGTGGAGAGTGGGAGGGTTGATTTAAGCTTGAGTAAAATTACATTTTACCCCCCAAATTTTCCCACTAAAAGTAAATTATTCTGGCTTGAGTGTTGCTGCTATTAAGTTCTCTTTTAGAGAGATACATTAGTGTGAATTACTGTGGAAATATGTCTTAGGCGTCACCCATAGAAGTAGAAAACACACAAGCAAAACAAGAGTTACATAAAACCACATGAAATTAAAAAAGTTGATCAAAAGTTGGATGATGGACACAGGTATAAACATAAACATACACAAACCCAGCACAAAACGCTATTCCTGGTTAATATTGGAGTGCTGTACAAAAATATAGTGCTCATGTACATCTATTAATCATTAATTTATCACATATTAAGTGAAAATTTCTTTAAAGTCTTACATTCAATGACTAACCTACAGAACCTATTACCAACATATAAGCTGCCACATCTGATATGAAGTTCTGTTTTTCTTGTGTTCCTTTCTAGATGAAGACAGTTTATAAATACACATCTCTCTTGGACAGTGCTTGATATACGTCTGGGAAAGAAACAGTCATGAGGACAGACCCCCAATCCATGGCACAAGTGTCAACTCAAGTGAGGAAACATGGAAAATGTTCTATCCTGTATGTCTGTAGGAAGGGTTGATCTGAACTTATATACTGTATGTACTACAGTGATTCTTTTGCAAGAATGATTTGGAAAGGATCTGAAATATAAGACTAGGATATACAGTTACAAATACATTATATTGTTGAGACCTGCAGTGAATGTAATTTTCTTAAACATTTGTTTTAGGCAAGAAAACATTTGAATCATTATTATGGTCTGTTTAACCTTATGATTCTAATTAGTTATTCTTATTAGAAGGACAGTGAGATACCCACCCTGAATGTGAGGGTACCTCATCATCATCAGAAGGCCCCAGCGGAGGGTGGTGGATGTGGTTTCTGTTCCGGCTGCAAACAAGTTGGCTGATGTGAATATCATGTTGTCCTCGTCAAAATATGAATGGGAGTTTTTAGCTTCCTATAATGAGAAATCTTAATAAGGAGATTATACCACCACTGCCCACAAAACAAACACAAATCCTGTGTGCGCTAACAGTTGGAATTCAGATTCCCTTTCACTGGAAAACGGTGGTTTAGCTAATGTAAAGAGAACTCATTGAAATGTTTAATCCAGTTGTAAAGATTTAAAACAGAGTAAAACAGCAGACAGACAGACAGCAGACAGGTGGTGTAGTGATTAGCATTGCTCCCTCTCAGTGCTGGGGCACTGGGCTCAAATCTGGACCAGGGGTGCTATCTGTGTGGAGTTTGTATGTTCGTGTGGGTTTCCTACCACAGTCCAAGACACACTGTAAAGTTAATTGACTTCTTGGTAAAATTGGGCCCTAGATGTCTGTGGTGTGTGTGTTCTTGTCTGTCTGCCCTGTGATAGACTGTCCCATCCAGGGTGATTTTGAAGAAGCAGTTAGAAAATGGATGGATGGAAAATAGCAGATATTCTTCACATAATTCTTATGTACATTACTTTTCCTACAGCAGCAGACAGAAACAGTGCTTAACAGCTCACAAAATACTGTCAGAAGAACATCACCTCCTCGTGTTGCTTCACTATGAAGGTATCGATGAAGCTCCGCATGTCATTAGGGTCAACAACATCTTTGCTCTTCTTGTACAGATTCCTTAAGAAAGACTGATTCTCTTTCACATTGCTTGAAACTTTCTTTAAATCCTTTATAAAATACCCAATAAAGGGGAAGGTGTTGAACAGCTGTAAAAAAAAGAATGAAAGAACAGGATGAGTGCAGTGAAAATGTAAGATTACAAGTAAATCTAAGGTGACCCTTGTATAAAGAACACACAACAAAACAAAGTTTAACAGAAAACTTGTTTGGTGTTTTTTAAAGCTGAAAGTGGGATCAAAAGGGAGATGAGCTGTGTGAGGCAGGGCCAGCAGTTCTGAAAAGCCAGCCCCCGACAGGATTACCAATTGTAATGGTGAGTAAAACGTTGGAAACTAGCAGCCATTGGTTTTGAGAATAAGGATTTTTACTCTGTTCCCAAAGTCAAAGACTGACTTGTTCTATTCTTGGAAGCCTTGTATTACTGATTAAAATATATACCATGATGGACATCTGCTGGTGTAACAGAGCTCAAGAGTCTTAAAAATCACAGACAGTATTAATCATGTCTTTTTGGTATAGTGGTTATGTGGATTGTGTGCTTGGAGATGTGCCTCTGATGCTTCTCACTTTTAGACCAGTACCAAGAAATCTTCAATGAGCCTTTGCTTGTGTTCTATTCATCTATGAGACATGAACATGAGAAGAACTGTTTGAAATGTCTATAATCAACAAGATTGGAGACAAAACTATACTGTTAAAAAAGTGTCTTTTTTACAGGATGCTTTCAGTCTTGCCTTGCAATACTGCCAGACCTTCCATTAAACATAAAGAGACTTTAACAAACTGGAACAGTCTTACAGCTGGCTAATATTTCAGATTATTCCACTATCTGATCATATTATACTCCACAAGTGTGGTATACACTACATTATATCAAATATCATGCATAAAATGCTAAATGATTGTTGGGGATTTAGGTGTCCAATACCACAGACTATCTGAGCAAAGATAATTATGGGCTATTTCTTCACCAACCCCTTTTGGCCACAAACAAGATAAGAATCTGACATGAACATGCCTTAACATGAGATTCTGCCTCAGAAACTAATCTGTTCAGTGATGAAGAAATGAATGACTAAACCTGACCTTAAAATAGTGATTACCAGATAGCGCTGTTGCTATTTCAGCTAATGATTATGAGACACAAGATGGCGCTTTTGACCATATGACAAACTGTGGGTATCTGTCTTTTCTTACATTTTTGGGTACTTTAAATAGGAAACATAGAATAATGAGAATAAGATTGTTTTTAAATATATCTGAAAGTATATCATATACTCAAAAGTAAAAAAGAAATGGCTATATGAATGAGACTAGGTTATTTTTCTTAATATAGTGAAACAAGACCAAATGCTTATTTAGAAATGTACTATAATTTAACTGCAAGAAAAAAATAGAAATATGAAGATATCTTTTCAACCCGGCCCTTGCAGTCCCATACCTGCATTTTTGGGGAGACTAGTAGCTTAATGTTCTCGTTCACAAGCTTTTGGAGCCGAAGAAACTGGGGGTTGTCGTATTCAAAGCGATCCCCAAACACAATGGTGCATATGATGTTAGACACTGCGGAGTTGATGTGGATAGTAGGCTCAAATGGTTGACCTTGGAGGAAGTAAAAGAAAGAAAGACTTGCATCATCACATGGGTTAAGATCAAAAGCAAGTGCTAGATACAGTATGAGTTACCCCCTAATGAAGAAGCAGGCCTATCTGTTAGAGTGGTAAGGTGACATTACCATGATCAAGAAAATTTTTTTTCACACATCTGTTGTTTTTAGTGATGCTAGTTCCAATCATTGCTCAATAGCAGTCTATAAATGGAATGAAAACCTGATCAATAGTCATTTTAAGGTCACAATTCTTTGTCCTTTGACCTTCAGTTACAAGAGCAAAGTCCAGTTTTGTGAATTTGCATCAAGTAGGTGCAGATGCATAAAGTACCTTTCCCTTATCTCTGCAAGCCATGTTGGGGAAAAAAAGGAGGATTTACAATTTGACGGGTACCTTTGTAGGACTCAAAGACTTCTATCAGCATTTTGGACTCCTCCACGATCCTGTCCTCAATGGTTCTCTTGCCCATGCCAAAGTCCCGCAAGGTGGAGAGAGTAAACCGACGCATTGTCTTCCATGACTCGCCCTTTCCAAATATGACACCTGGAAATGACAGGTGACAGAAGCTTTGAATGGTCTGTTTTCTGTCATCTATTCCACAAGCAGAAGTTTATGTTTTTGCTCATATTTTAATCAATCTATATCTACAAGAAGACAAGGAGACAAGTACAGCACCTTTATGTTTCTGATTTAGAGATTGTCAACAATATTGATTGAAAACTGAACCTTCCATCCACACAGTTTCTAACCACTTCACGCAGTTCAAGGTTGCAAAATAGGCGGGATGCACTCTGGATGGGACACCAGTCCATCACAAGGCAGACACACAGACAGAGACATGCACACACTCAAACCGGGGCCTATTCCCCCTGAAGCCAGTTAACTTACCACTATGTCTTTGGAATGTGGGAGGAAACCAGAGCACCCAGAGGAAACCCAAACAGGGGGAGAACATGCACATTACATGCAGACAGCACCCCAGGTCCAGAATTGAACCCAGTGCCACATTTTATAATGCTAACCACTGGACCACTGAGCTGCACCTCACATTCAATATTAATTCAAAGTATTGTGTTTGAAGTTCAGGCACTGGAGTCAATTTACTTCATTTACCTTTTCCCTTTGAAAATAATTGTGAGGTATGTGTTTGGCCCCTTCCTCCAAAGTCATCTGCCTGGTCCACCAAGGCTTCCTTCACTGTCTGATATCCAGTCAGGACTACAAACTTCCGTCTGCCCATGTGGAAAGTGAACACATTGCCGTACTGCTCTGACAGCTGAAGAGGGAAACAGAGCAAAGGAGAAGAGAAGACTGAGGTGGTGCACACAGACTACATCAACAGGATTTCATTTACAATGAGATTTTCTATTGGCACCCACATAATAGCACCAGAGAGCTACAGTATGAACAGACAGGCTCAAGCCTGGAAAACAAAAGTTTCTTCTGTAATTCTCTACATTTAGAGAAATTAAAGAGACAGGCATTCTAGCAAGAGCTGAGTCACCACAATTGACAAATTGACTGACTGCACATGAAGAACATACAGTAGAAAAGTGGTATTCTCATGCCAATTAATCACTGTTACTGGGAGTCCAAAGCTTAATTAGTGGAATGAAATCATTTGGCCGCCCAGAGTATATAAACAGTTTAAATACAAAACTTATTCCACTTTCATCCCTAAAGATGCCGAGATGATTATGTGTCTCAGATTTCAGATTAACAAATCATTCTGTGCGGTATGAGGATTGTAATCCTTTCACCCTTTTCACTGCTAATTGAGCCAAAAGCTGGATCTTCCAGTCTTACCAGGTCTTATATACTGTATTGTACCACCAACTGTTGTGTACAGTACATGCACTGTGTATTTCTCAGAAACGTCACTCTGTGATTGGTGCCTCCTGTGTTATAACTATTCTAAACTGTTCTTGTAAAAAGTCTTCTCTCTAAGCACCAGGAACCATACAGAGGGATACAATTAACCGGACATTCTGGCTCATTACACTTCTGTGAAGGTTTGTGATGCAATACTGATACACAGCCCTGTGACCTGTCAGTTTAGACATTAACAGATGTCAGGAAAAATCAAAACCTGTAGACCTTTTCCTGAGCCTTTTATTTTGCTCATTTACATTATCTTTAAAAGACTGTTATTCCTTTTCTACAGGTGCATTGCAAAATTAGTTAATTAAATTGGATACTTATTTGGATTAATGATTAGTTTTCACATTTACATTATATACAGTATAATATAAATAATTATCATACATGTCTCCAGACAAGACTGTATGATTAAAGAACTCAGCTGGTTTTCTTAGGCAGCAACCTGGAGTTGCAGATAAGACTCTGGAAAGAAAGGGTGTGGATTCAGACTTCAGGTGGGACATTGCTGTTGTTCCCTTGACTAAAATATTTCACCTTTGAATACCCTGCTCTATAAATGGGTTTACTTTTTATCACTGAAAATGAGAAATCGTCAATTTACTTACCTGGTAAAATTAACGAGTAATGCGTTAAATCAGTTTTATGATCTTTTTCACATTTAACTTTTATTTTGTTGAAATGCCTTTTTAAAATTTCCTGAGGACTATATTTACGTAAAGAAACTGCATAGGTTAGTATGATTAATAAATATATTCCAAGCGTTATGAACGTACAAGAGGTCGGCTGTTCCGACAAGGCGACAAGCGATATATACAGTATAGTATATAAAGAGACTGTTAATTGTAATGCGGATCCCTTCAATTCTCAGGCACTCCGGACAATTCCTGTCACTCACCTTACAGAAAGTTTCCTGTGCTTTCAGAAAGTCCAGTACATTGAGATTCCCGATGATCGGCCAGGGTCGTGGCCCGGGGGGAAATTTATAGGAAGATGCTTTGGAGGGTTTGAAAAACAAGTAGAAAAAGACAACTAACGTTGTAACGAAAACTAGACACACAGTGGCGGAGTCCGCCAATAGCTGTGTAATTACCGACATGGTTTACTGTTCTCTGCCTGTTCAGAATTACTGGAGTTTCAGACACTCACAGGTGTATATATACAGTAGACTGGTTACGTATTAACGCATGTTTATATACTGCACGGAGGTTACGTACTGTATGTCATGGCTGTTCTCAGCAAGACTAAGGCAAAGGTTGTTTCGGTGTGTGTGCACCCTTTTACCTACAGATGCCGCCAGCGACAGTAATAAAAACATCATACTAAGCCTGATCTCTGTCGTAAATTTTCTGTTTGAGGAGTGACAATGTAGGAATAGATGTGCAATGGATACACAATATGTGCAACCTTCTAAAATACCTTAATTGACGATTATTTTGTTCTGTTACCCAAATACAGTGAATACGCCAGGAAGATGTTAGAGAAGTTCATTAGAGAAAGGAATTGTCTAATTGCGAGAAGGGCGAAGCACATCGTTCCAGTCTATCTTCAATTAAAAACACTTTTCATGAAAAACGGAGTGACGGACAATGTAGAAATAGATTAAATATATATAAATAATCGCAACCTTGTAAAATATCTTAATTTCCACTGTTTTAAAACAAATGAGTGTTTTTGTTTAATATGATAATATTGCATTTTGGTGCTACGACTAGGGGTGCTACAGTCCAGCCCTGGATTGGAATGCAGCACCAAAGGCTGGGCTGCAGTGTAAAGGTGCCAACGTTAAGCAGCTTTAACTGGCTTCCTATTGGCAATACCTGTCAAAATAAAAGTCGCTCCTAAAACGCTGTGCTGGACAGGGAAAAGCCTCATTCCCCCCACGCTGTTCTGACAGAATTGGGAAGTGAAGGTGCCTTGCTGGTGTTTTTGATTGACAACACAACAGACGACATCATCATTCTTCAATCCGATCATCAATTATTATTTTATTGAAATATATTGACTTAAACAGCAATATACTGCTGTTTTATTATCCTTATCCACAGCTATTAATACAAAGGATTGGAATAATTCAGGTGGGTAGCTGCGTCAGCATGCGTACAGTAGGCTGCAAAGGAACAAGTAATACTGTAGGTTTATTCCATGCTGAAAAGAGCATTCCACACCTAAAGAAGGCTCCACGGCTGAAACGTTGTGTTTTCTTTCTTCTCTTTTCAGCATGGAATAAACCTATTACTTGTTCCAAAGGATTGGAATGCTCTGAATACTCTTATAAAAGAAATATAAACTTTGTATGTTAAAACTCCTAAATCTCCTTAGAATATAGCCTTCGTTGGTCCTTTCCTCTGTATTGGTCGTCCAAATTAATTTCCAATCAATATTCGCCACAAGGTATTTATATTCAGCTACTGCTTGAATTTACATTCCATTCACAGTTACGGGGATTATAGGAATAGAGCGTCTTTCTGAAAGCGTTATCATTTCCTTTGTTTTTTTTGTGTTTTAGACAGAATCGTTATTCATGAGCAAGTGTATAATGTATCCACAAATCCAAAAGCTTCTCTGCCAACCTGTTAGCCTGGAAAATATTGTAACGCTTACGGCCGAAAGGTTTACCATAGCGCTGACGTCGCCGCCCTTACCTGTGATAGCAGGACTACACCTACTGGGCTGTAGAGAGATTTCTCTTCGGCTCACTGGGCTGGGTCTCTGCTGAGTGACGCTGGAGTCCCGGGTTCGAGCCCCCGACGGTAGGGGGCCCACCTAATGCGGCAAGGGCGCCCGCCCGAACCCCCGTTGCGTTACAATATTAAATTCCGATGAAAAGTCAGCAAAAAATTTCAGGACATACACTAGGAGGATGGAGTTTCTAAATGCGTGTACACCTGAATGTCACAGTCGCTCCTTCGACTCATTGTTTCGCCCTGAACGCGTTACTGTATATCTTTCTATAAGCTTATTGTGCATAAAAAATGGACAGGAATCCTGTGTTAAACATTCTGAACCCTATGAAGGTCTGGAAAAAAAATCATATCGACATGAAACTTCCCCGAACAAGAACTTTAACTTTTTAAGCTTGGAATCACCATGCTGCTTCTGACTCGATCAAAGGGATCTTTTAAAACTCGATAATCATTTAGTTTAACTCTGGAATTTATTAAGGCGGTTTACATTTTTGTTCGATTTTCCTTTTACTTTTGTTATGTTTATTAGTACAATTAAATAGCTTAAAAATCGTTTGTAAAACAAACTAAAAATAAACGTCGGAAGACATAATACAGATCTGCGGTAAATAATGTGGTTAGTCTGTATACTAAGACGCTGACATTTCTCTAAATAAAACATCTAACAAAGAAAAAGTAGCATTAAATATTATTTTAAAACATTTTAGTTGCTCTAATTACACATTTTTCGAGACCGGAAGAAGAAAGAAACAAACATAACAGAAAAATACGTTTTTCAAAGACACGATATATTACAAAATGTCTAGAATATACTGTATAGTATATTGTATACAAATAAAGCTGAAGGGCATTACATATCGTTTTCCAAAAGGGACATTGACTCACTTATTCTACCTGATCTGAAAGTAGGTCACATAAATCATGACGGTTTTTATTTACATTTCATTTAAATTAAAGAAAACACAGATTTTGTCCTCAGATCGATGAAATATAAAAACGGTATTTAACACTGACTGAAAAAACTATGCACCATTCATACATCTCTTACATTATACCCAGCCTGGAAGGGCTGATGGGAAATCAGTCCATTTATCCTTTAAAGTACTGTTTTGTACTCAAGTACTACTACTACTACTACTAATAATTATTATTATTGCTTACACTTATATAAAGCTTTTCTGGAGACTCCACTCAAAGCGCTTTACAGGTAATGGGGACTCCCCTCCACCACCACCAATGTACTTCAGATTTACTTTACTAGAAGAGTCTAGAAGCTAAATCCTCTCCTATCGCTACAGCTATGGAGTAGAGTAAGTAAGTTATTTCTGCATATAAGCACCAATGTGGTAGGGGATGGTCACTTCCTCAGACTGACATTGGAATGTGTGGAATTGCACACAGAGCCTGTGCTATCTGCTCCTCTCCCTCAGTAACTCCACCCCTTCTGCCTGCCAATTATCCAATCAGCCTGCTGTACAGGATGTGTCCCAATTGTAACCTTTTCCTCCTTAACAGGTGACTTTCTCACAGACTTTCTCCCTGCCTCACAGAGCTGTTCCATGCTTCCTGTACAGTGTTCTTATTCCCAAGTTATTTTTATCACTATTTGAGTTATTACAGACTGTTAGCTCACTTTTTTATTCTTTGAGCTGGTGATGTTGATCATGTTCAGTTCTTTGATGAGGTATTGTTATTCAGCAATGCTGTATTTTGTTGGAAAAGGAAGTTTTAAGCAAAGGAAAAGGAAAATAAAGAAAATAAAAAAGGGAATCTTTCCCTTGTATTGCTCTGACAATGTACAAAAAAACCCAGATTGAGAATTTAGAACAACATTTTTATTTTAAATTTAAACACAGTAAAGGAGTTACGATGAACAACAACAATCAGTAGATGAGAAAGTATGAATAAAGTTTCGTCCACATCAAGTTGTAATATTTAGGTCAATAGTTCCATTTTATTTAAATTCTTATCAAATATTTTAACATTGCAAATGTGAAGCACAATTACATTGTACATGCTGATATACTGACATGCAAGTTATCAAGACCTTACTTGTACTTGTTCACTGATATTCACTCATAGGTCTTCCAGGTTGTCTGGTTTTCCTCCTCTTGTCTATTCATCAAGAATTGTAAACTACGTTTAATTTCTTATTTCCTCTGAAGCGAATAAAGAGGCCTGTGGAGCAGGAATGACTGCCACTACTCTAGCTAGTATTACGTTCTCAAGAAGGAGCATTTAAATATGTCTGTTTCACTTTAAATGGCTGCAATGGTTTATATTGAAACTATCCTTTAACAGCACAGGCCTATAATTTACTGCTCAAATTTACTGATACATTCCTCTCCAGATCCTTGAAACTCCAATGCCTTCTTTTTTTCTTCCAGCTTAGTTCTTGACTGTTTGATTGAAACCACAATTTAATGATGGATTAATTATCCATTTTGAGTTCTTTCCAAGTCTGGAATGGTCAGAGATGTTAATGTATAAAATATGGATTCATTAATTCCATGAAATAACTTCAAGTTACCACTAAAAAGTTTAATTAATCACATATTTTCTGTTTTTTTTTTCTAAGACTCCACAGCTTTTTAAAGCTGCTTATGAACCATGTGAGCTGCTTATGAACCACATCTTCAGTAGCTGTGTAAATCTCAAGGTGTAAACTCTGAAATCCCATTTCAGTGAGACGAGACTGAGACACAACAGGCTGCTGTGGCCTCAGTGTGGAAGAGGAGGCTGACACAGACTGAAAGAAAGCCTTGACCATCAGTGGCTGACAGCACAGAGCTTGTAGGAATGTGGGGATGCAGTAATACCGGGGACTGGTTCCATATTCAGGTCCTCAGGCCGGATACCAGGGGGCAGATGGAAGGTGAACTTCTGGAGGAGGGCAGTGAAGAACAGGAAGAGCTCCATCTTGGCCAGAGTCTCGCCCAGACAAACCCTCCGACCTGCAGGGCACACCACAAAGCAGATTGATCTAGAAATGGGATCTATACACAGGTATATCACCAGGACCTGGAGATGGACACCACACTGTCATGTAACTTGGTACTCAAACATAAAGAAACCACCTGCAGAAAGAATTTAGACTGGTTAGTCAATGTTCTCATTGGTACAGTGTGGACAGGTAAGAATCAAAGGAACGTGTTGGTGTGAATGACCTCCTCTAATTTGAAATATTTACAATTTTTTCAACAAATATTTCTAAAATGTAACACCAAAATTTTCAAGTATCTACAGTACATATTTCTGGTGTGAATACACAAATATAGATTCACATTCTGAAAATGTTTTATTTTACTTGTAAAATCTTTAGGGCTAGGAAGTTTAATCGAATAAAATAGGGTTCTTTACAGTGAGATGCAAAGATGCTGAAACATTCAATTGGAAATAGGGAGACCTCCTGAGTGTTACTCAATGGGAAACTGGAATTATAACTTTGAGAAACCTGCAAATGTTTGTTTTCAGGTTTATTTGAATGTCCTATAGAAAAAAAGTTTTAATAATCACCTCAGGATAGCAACAACAAGTAACTGTGAACGTGGGCTTCAGCAACAACTTGCTAAATCTGTTATCTCCCTTATATATACAATTTCAATTAAAACAAATTATCAGAAAAAATGAAAGCATAGTTGAATCAAAATAACATCATACCTATCTATGTTTTAAAGTTTTCAAGACCGTAGAAATGTCACTATTTCTATGAAGCTGTCGTAACTATCATAATGCCACTTTGCCTGTTACACGTGTATGAAAACAAAGATGTTCCAAAAGCTATTTATGTGTTGGATTTGAGAACAGTTCAGATAGAATCAAGCTAAGACTACACCCTAGAGTGCATCTGTCATGTTTATTGTTTATTTCTAGTGAATATGTGTCAGATGAAACATTTCATTTGCAAAATCACTTGTAAATTTTAAGAGCTCAGCAAAACCAGAAAGAACAAAAGAGAGATTGCAAGGATAGTTTAAAATTGTTTAAAATCAAAAGGGTCCCATATTATTCCTGATGAGATGCTGTTCTGTGTAACAATTGCAACAGATAATGCTGGTTGCAATGCTGGTATACAAACGACTATACTTTATGTACCCAATACAAGAGCAAGTCTCTAGATTTCTGTTATATCTTCAATTCTATGACACTGCAATGTTTTGACAATGTAATTGGTTGGTCCATTTATAATAAACTCAAATATATAATTAATTAATTGATTATAGAAAAGAACTGGAGCAGATTGTAAGCACTGGTACTTGGGTGTCCATGCTCTTAGAAAAACAAACTAGGAAGAGCGCTTCCAACAGAGCACAGCATTCTGGCCTTCAGACTCATACAAGAACAAATATTAGGCTCATATTTTTTCTGTACATTGGAGTGATGAGTGGCGTCTCAGGAGTTCTACCTGGAAAATGAGCCAGGTTAATGAAATAAGAAAATGATCAGGCTACAAATGTGACACAGACCTGCTGAAAAGGGCATGAAGGCTTCTTTCCTAACGAAATTTCCCTGAGCATCCAGGAAGTGGCCAGGGTTGAACTCAAAGGGTGTGTCCCACTGCGTCTTGTCGAACAGCACAGAAGTGAGCAGCGGAATGACAGAGGTGCCCTGAGGAAGACAGACAGCAGGTTTATGTGTAAAGTATTAGATGATGTGTATTCTACACAAAACCTCTTTGATTCACTTGCCTTTTCTGGTGTCAACAGATAATAGTTATCAAATCTGAAAAAAATGTTTAACTAATTCCAGCTTTTAAAGCTGATATCAGTACAGATATCAGTATTGACAGTTAGTATCTAACTTTCCTTGATTAGTTGAGAATTTCCTAGCCTAATGTCCACTACGGACCCATATTTGGCAGATATATGACTGATCATTCAGAATGTTGATGCTTCAAGTGGCTTTGAGATACATTAGGCCCTTTACTTCATTTTTTTCACTCAGATAAATTATCAAGTGTAACAGTTCTCTTACTCAGCTAAGCTTCCATTGTATTGGCTTATGTTATTTCTGAAGAATGCTCTTCCTATCTTTGAGTTTCTGATGAGGGTTAACCTCACTTCCCACTGTGACCCTGTGAGGTCTGTCTATGGGTGGGAGTAAGAGTGAGGGGTGTGACAGAGAGGTTCACCTTCGGGATCTTGTAGCCCCTGAAGGTGGTGTCCACTGTAGTCTCGTGCAGCACATTCATGGGCACCACGTTTCCGAACCTCTGGACTTCATGTAACACTGCGTCAGTGTAGGGCATGCTCTTCCGGTCTTCAGACCTTGGAGGGCGCTCTCTCCCAATCACTCTCTCAATCTCTGCTTTCACTTTCTCTGCAGTGGAGAGTGGGAGGGTTGATTTAAGCTTGAGTAAAATTACATTTTACCCCCCAAATTTTCCCACTAAAAGTAAATTATTCTGGCTTGAGTGTTGCTGCTATTAAGTTCTCTTTTAGAGAGATACATTAGTGTGAATTACTGTGGAAATATGTCTTAGGCGTCACCCATAGAAGTAGAAAACACACAAGCAAAACAAGAGTTACATAAAACCACATGAAATTATAACAACAGTATTTGAAACATAAATACATAGTTATATTCCATACTTTCATTGAGCAGTTTTATTGCATAAGGGACAAAAGACTTTTTATAAATGTTTAGATTTGAATTTGGTACCCTATACCATCTTCCTGATGGGAGTATTATGAATTGAGAATTGAGTGGGTGTGTGGGATCGGCTATGATGTTCCTTGCCTTTCTAGAACTGTATTACGATATAAATTGCAGAGCTGGGGTTGCTGTTTCCCAATAATGTTTCCTGCCATTTTCACAATTCTCTCATAGTGCTCATCTTTAAAGGGACTGTAACTCACTTCATTGTGAATTATACATATTTTTTTTCTAGATGATCATTACACACAGAGAGGAAATTGACAAGTACTATACGTTGTTTTTTTTTCCTATTGCTGCATTGACTGCATTGAGGCAGGATGGGGAAATAACTGTAGATTTGAATAACACAGTGAATGTAATTATCCCAATCCTTTGTTTTAGGTAAGAAAACATTGACTCATTATTATGGTCTGTTTATCCTTATGATTCGAATTAGTTATTCTTATTAGAAGGACAGTGAGATACCCACCCTGAATGTGAGGGTACCTCATCATCAGCAGAAGGCCCCAGCGCAGGGTGGTGGATGTGGTTTCTGTTCCGGCTCCAAACAAGTTGGCTGATGTGAATATCATGTTGTCCTCGTCAAAATATGTATGGGAGTTTTTAGCTTCCTATAAAAAGAGATCATACTATTAGTGTACAAAACAAATAAAAATACTGTGTCCCAAAACAACAGAACAAATGCCAATCTAACTAAAGTATAAGATTCCCATACTTTAGAAAATGGAGGTTTAACTAACAGAAAGGTGTTTCATTAAGTCAATCAAAATAAAAATAGAAGACAGGCATCATGGTGGTGCATTGATTAGCATTGCTGCAACTCAGCATTGGGGCCCTGTTTGAGTGAGTTTCTTCCAGGGCCTCTGGTTTCCTATCACAGTCCAAGACACATTGGTAGGTTAATTGGCTTCTTGGTAAACAGGGGCCTTGGAGTCTGTGCTGTCTGTATTCTTGTCTGTCTGCCCTGTGATAAACTGGCGTCCAGTCCAGGGTGTCCTGTGACTTGTACCCATTACTTGATGGGATAAGCTCAGCTGCGACCCTGAATTTGAAGAAGCAGTTAGAAAATGGATGGATAGAAAACAGCAGATATTCTTTATATGAGTCTTATGTATATTACTTTTCCAATGGCAGCACACAGAAACAGTGATTAAGAGCTCACTAAATACTGTCACGAGAGCATCACCTCCTCGTGTTGCTTCACTATGAAGGTATCGATGAAGCTCCTCATGTCATTAGGGTCAACAGCATTTTTGCGCTCCTTATACAGCTTCCTGAAGAAAGACTGAGTCTCATTTGAATTACTTGAAACTTTCTTAAAATCCTTTATAAAATACCCTATAAAGGGGAAGATGTTGAACAGCTGGAAAAAAAGAAAGAAAGAACAGGATGTAAGATGTTAGCCAGCAGCCATATCACCCTGCAACTCACAACTGGCAACCCACTAAAGCTAAGCAGGTGTGAGCCTGGTCAGTACCTGGATGGGAGACCTCCTAGGAAAAACTAAGGTTGCTGCTGGAAGAGGTGTTAGTGAGGCCAGCAGGGGGCGCTCACCCTGTGGTCCATGTGGGTCCTAATGCCCCAGTATAGTGATGGGGACACTATACTGTAAACAGGCGCTGTCCTTCGGATGAGATATAAAACCGAGGTCCTGACTCTCTGTGGTCATTAAAAATCCCGTTTCTCGAAAAGAGAAGGGGTGTAACCCTGGTTTCCTGGCCAAATTTATCAATCAAAGGTCTTTATCAATCATGGCCTCCTTATAATCCCCATCTATGATTAATTACTTAATTACTCTGCTCTCCTCACCACTGATAGCTGGTGTGTTATGAGTGTTCTGGCGCACTATGGCTGCTGTCGCATCATCCAGGTGGATGCTGCTCATTGGTGGTGGTGGAGGGGAGTCCCCATTACCTGTAAAGTGCTTGGACTGGAGTATCCAGAAAATTGCTATATAAGTGTAAGCAATTATTATTATTATTACAAGTAAATCTAAGGTGACCCTTGTATAAAGAACACACAACAAAACAAAGTTTAATGTCTGGAGTTTTTTACAGCTGAAAGTTGGATCAAAACAGGCGATGTGTGAAGCAGGGCCACAGGACCAGCAGTTCTGAAAAACCAGTCCCCGACAGAATTACCAATTGCAATGGTGAGTAAAACTTTGGAAACGAGCAGCCATTGTTTTTCTAAATAATTTTTGCTCTTTTCTATGACTTGTTCTATTCTTGGAAGGCTTGTTTTACTGATTAAAATATATAGAGTGATTGACATCTGCTGGTGTAACAGAGCTCAAGAATGTTACAAAGCACGGTTACAAAGTTAATAATGAAACATGGAGACTTTAACAAACTGTAACAGTCACAAAGAAGATAAGAATCTGACATGAACATGCAATAACATATATTGTGCCTCAGAATCTGATCTATTAAGTGATTAAGAAATGAATGGCTAAACATGACCTGAAAATAGTAATTATCAGACAGCGCTGTTGCTATTTCAGCTGATGATTATGAGACACACAATGGTGCTTTTGACCATATGACAAACTGTTAAACTGTGGTAATGTGTCTTTTTTTTACATTTTTGAGTAATTTAAATTGGACAATTACAATAATGAGTACTACACACACATAATACAGTTGTATTAAAATACATACGAAAGTATATCATATACTCAAAACTAGAGAAGAAACAATTCGTTGTTTTTCCTAATGTCTTAAAACAAGACTAAATGCTTATTTAAAATGTAGTTTCCTGCAAAAAAAAAAAATAGAAATATGAAGATAATTTGTTAACCCAACCCTTGCAGTCCCATACCTGCATTTTTGGGGACATTATTAGCCTCACATTCTCATTCACAAGCTTCTGGAGCCGAAGAAACTGGGGGTTGTTGTACTCGAAGCGATCCCCAAACACAATGGTGCATATGATGTTGGATACTGCGGAGTTGATGTGGATAGTAGGCTCAAACGGTTGACCTTGGAGGAAGGAAAAGAAAAAAAGACTTGCATCATCACATGGGTCAAGATCAAAAGCAAGTGCTAGGTATGAGTTACTCAGTGATAACCATCCATCTTGTTAGGGCAGTAAGGCGACATTATCATGATCAAGAAAGGTGCTCTTCACACATCTGTTGTTTTTATCTAGTCATAATCATTGCTCAATTATAGCAGTCTATAAATGCAATGAATAAACCTGGTAAATAGTCATTTTAAAGTCATAGTTCTTCATCCTGCGAACTTCAGTTAAGGAAGCAAAGCCCAGTTTTGTGAATTTGCATCAAGTAGGTGCAGATGCATAAAGTACCTTTCCCTTATCTCTGCAAGCCATGTTGGGAAAAAAAGGAGGATGTACTATTTGATGGTACCTTTGTAGGACTCAAAGACTTCTATCAGCATTTTGGACTCCTCCATGATCCTGTCCTCAATGGTTCTCTTGCCCATGCCAAAGTCCCGCAAGGTGGAGAGAGTAAACCGACGCATTGTCTTCCATGACTCACCCTGTCCAAATACAATACCTGGAAATGACAGGTGACAAAAGCTTTTAAATTGTCTGTTTTCTGTCAACTATTTCTCATGCAGAAGTTTAGTTTTTTGCTCATATTTTAATCAAGCTATATCTCCAAGAAGACAAGGAGACAATGTGAAGCACAGCACCTTAATATTTCTGATTTGGAGATTATCAACAATATTGATTGAAAGCTGAACCTTCCATCCATCCAGTTTCTAACCACTTCATGCAGTTCAAAGTTGCAGAGGAGTCAGAGCCTGTCCCAGCAAGCTACAGGCACAAGACAGGATACACCTGGAGGGGACGCCCGTTCATCACAAGGCAGACACAGACACGCAAACACTCAAACCAGTTTACCCAGCAGCCAAATTCACTGACCAGAGCTCCCAGAGGAAACCCACACAAACACAGGAAGAACATACAAATTCCATGGTGACAACATCCCAGGTGCAGAATTTAATCCAAGCCCCCTTTTGCTAGGCAGTAAGACTAACCACTGCACCACTGAGCTGGCCCTCACATTCAATATTGATTCAAAGTATTTTGTTTTAAAGTTCAGGCACTGAAGTGAGTTTACTTTTTTACCTTTTTCCTTTGAAATTAATTGTGAGGTATGTGTTTGGCCCCTTCCTCCAAAGTCATCTGCCTGGTCCACCAAGGCTTCCTTCACTGTCTGATATCCAGTCAGGACTACAAACTTCCGTCTGCCCATGTGGAAAGTGAACACATTGCCGTACTGCTCTGACAGCTGAAGAGGGAAACAGAGCAAAGGAGAAGAGAAGACTGAGGTGGTGCACACAGACTACATCAACAGGATTTCATTTACAATGAGATTTTCTATTGGCACCCACATAATAGCACCAGAGAGCTACAGTATGAACAGACAGGCTCAAGCCTGGAAAACAAAAGTTTCTTCTGTAATTCTCTACATTTAGAGAAATTAAAGAGACAGGCATTCTAGCAAGAGCTGAGTCACCACAATTGACAAATTGACTGACTGCACATGAAGAACATACAGTAGAAAAGTGGTATTCTCATGCCAATTAATCACTGTTACTGGGAGTCCAAAGCTTAATTAGTGGAATGAAATCATTTGGCCGCCCAGAGTATATAAACAGTTTAAATACAAAACTTATTCCACTTTCATCCCTAAAGATGCCGAGATGATTATGTGTCTCAGATTTCAGATTAACAAATCATTCTGTGCGGTATGAGGATTGTAATCCTTTCACCCTTTTCACTGCTAATTGAGCCAAAAGCTGGATCTTCCAGTCTTACCAGGTCTTATATACTGTATTGTACCACCAACTGTTGTGTACAGTACATGCACTGTGTATTTCTCAGAAACGTCACTCTGTGATTGGTGCCTCCTGTGTTATAACTATTCTAAACTGTTCTTGTAAAAAGTCTTCTCTCTAAGCACCAGGAACCATACAGAGGGATACAATTAACCGGACATTCTGGCTCATTACACTTCTGTGAAGGTTTGTGATGCAATACTGATACACAGCCCTGTGACCTGTCAGTTTAGACATTAACAGATGTCAGGAAAAATCAAAACCTGTAGACCTTTTCCTGAGCCTTTTATTTTGCTCATTTACATTATCTTTAAAAGACTGTTATTCCTTTTCTACAGGTGCATTGCAAAATTAGTTAATTAAATTGGATACTTATTTGGATTAATGATTAGTTTTCACATTTACATTATATACAGTATAATATAAATAATTATCATACATGTCTCCAGACAAGACTGTATGATTAAAGAACTCAGCTGGTTTTCTTAGGCAGCAACCTGGAGTTGCAGATAAGACTCTGGAAAGAAAGGGTGTGGATTCAGACTTCAGGTGGGACATTGCTGTTGTTCCCTTGACTAAAATATTTCACCTTTGAATACCCTGCTCTATAAATGGGTTTACTTTTTATCACTGAAAATGAGAAATCGTCAATTTACTTACCTGGTAAAATTAACGAGTAATGCGTTAAATCAGTTTTATGATCTTTTTCACATTTAACTTTTATTTTGTTGAAATGCCTTTTTAAAATTTCCTGAGGACTATATTTACGTAAAGAAACTGCATAGGTTAGTATGATTAATAAATATATTCCAAGCGTTATGAACGTACAAGAGGTCGGCTGTTCCGACAAGGCGACAAGCGATATATACAGTATAGTATATAAAGAGACTGTTAATTGTAATGCGGATCCCTTCAATTCTCAGGCACTCCGGACAATTCCTGTCACTCACCTTACAGAAAGTTTCCTGTGCTTTCAGAAAGTCCAGTACATTGAGATTCCCGATGATCGGCCAGGGTCGTGGCCCGGGGGGAAATTTATAGGAAGATGCTTTGGAGGGTTTGAAAAACAAGTAGAAA